ATGACTGGATAGAACGCGAGCGGTGAAAAGCAAAAAGACACCGACGGGATTCGATCCCGGACTCCGCGATTCGTGGACGACGGATCAAACCACTCGGCCATCAGGCTTCCTTAGAATTCTCCTCCAAAACAATTTGTTTTAATAATAGGCGGAGAAACCTGGAACATTGCTGTGTGCATCTGTTTTTGGTTTCATGACAAACAGAATTGAAGTCTGTTTCGAACAGTATAATGAGTCAACTGTTTTCATTTGTTTGAAAAAAATAATACGGCAGTCTCGTTAGTCGTAGGCCTACACGTGTGCTTAACATACTCATCGTTACGCAACAATGAACCCTATTATTATGTAGGCTATTTTGAATTTTGGCGGGGTGGGGGAGATTTCATGCCCGTTAGATGTCTATATCCGATCTTATAATTTTATAATTTTTAGCATGTTTTGTGTGTCAGAGCGGGGAGGGGCTGTCCAGTGGAGTGGGGGTTTGAATTCCGTGTGGATCCGCGCCTGACTTCTATTGTTTTTATTTGGACAGATACAGATTCTCAACTCCATCACTACTATTTCAAAAAAATACGGACGTTTAAAAAAAAACACGATAATTTGTTCTTGCAGATTTGTTTGGTAACACTGTAAATCAGACCTCTATCCTATTCCGTTCGCTGTACCCAACAGTCCTTCACCAGGCTGTAATCAAACGTTATTTTCCTGAAATATAAAGCAAACAGAACGTTCTCATCCTTAAATTTAAAAAAAAATCTTAAAAATACACGAAAACAACATTACACCAGGACACCACATTACACCAGGGAAGCTGTTCACGATACCGATGTGCCTCCTTTATGATAGCGTTTCCCACGTACCCCGCCCTGCAAACACGGGCTGGGGCGCTGGGCAGGGAAGAGGCTAGGCTGATGAGCTTCACAGAATCTTGTGAAGGAAGTAGGGATGGCAATCTGGGTAACTTGTCATGCCCTATATATATAAAGACATAATTAAAGCTGCTGTAGCTGTTTAAAAGGTGCAGCAGGCTAATCTGGTTCCCTCACTTCATTGTCCTTTGAATGATTGGGACACTTCCTGAGCCTAACAACAGTCACCCACTCCCCCACTCCCCCGGTCAATGTTGTTTTCTCCAGCTGATGGAGCACACACCGCGCAATGAGAGACAACTATCCTCTATCCTCGCAAATATAAACAAGGAAAATAAAATTTCCTTCATCATGGGCGATTTTAACATTGATTTATTAAACTACAATACCCATAATCCAACTCAGAATTTAGTTAACTCGCTTTTTAACAACTCATATTTACCGCTAATAGACAGTCCAACTCGTATTACGTCTAAAACTGCTACCTTAATAGATAATATCATATCAGTGTTGGACGTACAGAAAGCGGCATCGTGTGCAATGACATTTCTGACGACTTACCAATTTATCAGATATCTTCCTTTAATATTAGAGGCATTGATAAACAAAATGCAGGTGGTTCATATAGACACATTACAGCGGATAGATTGGAAAGGTTCAAAATCAACTTAAACATTGCAAATTGGAGTATCACTTGTACGGATAACCCTTACTTCATTTTTGATAATTTTTTCACATGGACTTTTTAGAAATATTTCAAGATAACTTTCCCCTAAAGAAAACCAAGCCCTCTAAGAAACTCAAATTATGGATGACCGGTGGAATCTTAAACTCAATTAATCATAAAAATGAACTATACAAAAAATATTTAAACAATTCGACTAGTAACTATTTTGACAAATACAAGCATTTCCGTAACAAGTTAAATGCCATCATCGAGATTACTAAAGCAAAATTTTATAAAGATAAGTTGGAAAAAGTAGAAAGTAGTGCTAAAAATAATGGTGTATAATTAATTCATTAATAAACAAAAAGAATCATAAAAAGTACCCTTCTGAATTCAATATAACGTGGAAACCATACAAATAACAATAACACCCAAGATATTTCAAATGCATTTAATGACTACTTTACACAGATAGGCCCTTCTCTCAATCGAAATCTTCCTCAAGCAAATGCTAGTTATGAGAATTACTTGACTGATCCTAACGAAAATTCCATTTTCTTTAATCCTATAACAAAAACAGAAATTCATGAAATTGTTTCCAAATTTAAAAATAATAAGTCTCCTGGCTTGGATGGTGTCAAACCAGGGTTGATCAAATCTGTCATAACCAATATAAGCGATCCCCTGTGTCACCTGTTTAATTTATCTTTATCTAAAGGGTTTCCCAGATACATTGAAAATTGCCAAAGTCACTCCTATATTTAAAAAAGAAAACCCCGCTGAGCTTGGTAATTATAGACAAATTTCGGTACTATCATGTTTTTCCAAGATTCTTGAAAGATTTGTGTACTATAGGACAAAGTAACATTTCTAGACAAGTATAACCTCATTTCTGATAATCAATATGGTTTTCGATCTAATTTCTCCACTTCAATGGCACTTATTGACCTAGCAGGTAAAGTAGTCCAAACATTTGAGAATGCCTTTTCAATTGGTATATTCTTAGATTTATTAACAGCTTTTGATACTACAAACCATGATATTCTTCTTCATAAATGAAATTACTATAAGGTATCCACGGGGTTGCCCATGATTGGTTTGCGAGTTATTTGAATAATCGTAAACAGTGTACAACTTTTAATAATTGACTCTCTGATTTAAAAGGCATCTCATGCCGAGTACCCCAGGGCTCTCTGTTGGGACCTTTGCTATTTCTACTCTACATTAATGATGTTTCAAAGACATCTAAGTTATTATCCTTTATATTACATGCTGATGACACTAGTTTATTCTATTGTAACAAAGATCTTCTTTCCCTGTATAATATTGTCAACAATGAACTGATCAGTATCTGTAATTGGTTAAAAGATAACCGCTTTTCCCTTAATTTATTTAAATGCAATTATACTATCTTCAGTAACAGGGAAAAACACAGAATAACTCATCAAACTTAAATATTTTAATGAATAGCAAAACTATCAAGAAAGTGGATAAGTTTAGGTTTTTAGGTGTAATCATCGATGACAAATTGACTTGGAAATATCACATCGATGAGATTGTAAGTAAAGTTTCTAAGAGTATTGGGGTTATCAACAGATTAAAACAAACATATTGTTCTCTTTGAGGTATTAAATACTCTATATAGTCCATTAATACTTCCGTATTTTTTACTCTAACATTGTTTGGGGTATACATTCCTTACGAATTTGCATAAACTAATAAAGTTGCAGAAAAGAGTTCTTCGACAAAATCATGAGAGGAATCACCAAATCCTGCCAAATTAGAATTTAACCTGATACGAGTTCACAACCGGGAGACTTACACAATCCGTTATTATTATACATTCTATATATATATATAGATAAATTAAGATGTGAGGCTTGGATATTTAATACCCCGTTACTTTGCCATTGGCAGGTGTTTGGGTGTTCAGTGATATCTAAACCCCAGTCCATTCAAATATCCACCTGTCACTTCAAATCAACTTTGTCACTTTTTAATTGTAAACGATTTCCCAATTTGTTTGTTTGTTCTATTTTTTTTGCTCAACATTCCTGTCTAAATTAAGCCCAACATTTACTAAGATCACTTTTATTAAACAATTGTTGACGCAATGCTCCGACTATTTGACTATAGTAATTTTAGAGGATAAAATATTAAGGCATACTTATGATAATTCTAGTACTGAAATTATTAATCACTATCGCGGGTTATTAAAAAAAAACACTTTCGCATTTCTTTTATGTCAAAGATCGTTATTTAACGAGTATGATGTAGCCAGTGGATCTGTATGACTGTAAAACATGATGGCTTCCTTCCTGCTAATTAATATTTACATTGAAATGGACCCAGGGGTCAAAGAGAACGTGTGCTGATCTTTAAATAATGTTTTTCGTGAAAGACACCTGTTCGTATGATTATAACTCCGCTTGTCGTTTTGGATCCATTCCTTGGGGTTTTTTTTGGAATAGTTTATCAACAACAGCAAAATATATCGAGCAGCCACACTTTCTTTCTGGGGATGCCATCTTGCCTAATCCGCCCCACTCTCCAAAAAAAAAAATTACTACTGAATTAATCTTAATACAAAACAGGCACCCTATCTGACGATTTTCAATACAAGTTGCTTTGACAGAGTTATACATGCACCATTGGCACACTTGCAGGGGGATCTGGTACGTTTTCCTAGTATATTTATCAAGACTTTGTTTAAAAGTCACCAAAAGAAAGTGTTATTGCGTATACAAAAAAAGGAAAATATAAAATGATAGACAAGAAAATACAAATCTTTTTGTTTGTATAAGTATGGAAAACGGTATTTTTGTACTCTGTGACGTAAATCCGTATCGGCGAGTGGGGGGATGGGGGATGACCAAAAATCAAAAAAATTGCCCGGCCGTGGAAATTCGACATGCGGGGTGGGGTGGGGGTGGGGGTTCGAGGGGAAGGACGGGCGGGGAGCTTGAAACCGCATGTCACTAGGGGCGCTGTTCAAGATACAATTGTATATCTTTTATATGCAAAGTTGTGTTCTCTGACCTTTAACTTGAATCAAAACCATAAACGGTGCATTTAAAGCTTTTGTTCTGTATGTCTTTCAAAACTATTCAATACACTTGGACTGTTGCAAAGTTACAACAATCGGCATGTTTTTCTTCACTACAAAATCTGCCCCCCACTCCCCCCCCCCCCCCCCCCCCCCCTGGATGATCCAATGCCCCCGGTCCAAAAGTTGGGGAAGGATATCTTCCCCATCCTCCGGAATTTTCGTCCTTGCCTGAACTGAAAACAGTAATAGGACAAAATTGAAGCAAGAGGAATCATCAGTCTAGCCTACAGCGTTACTACAAGTGAATTTTAGGTATCAAGTATTCAAGTGTTCTGTTTGCTTTTTTTGTATCTATCATTACTATTTTCTTGATGAAGACTGATGAATAACAACCACGAACCTCTACATCGGGTTTGCAGCTAGGAGTTTTTTTTACACTTCAAATTGAAATTAAACATTTAAGCAAACACTAACTGGCCGTTTACTGGTAAGTCGAGTTGTGTATTCTAGAGGTCATAGTTGGCAAGATTTGCCTGCTCCGACCATGCCGCGTACTGGGCCCCGTCCATCTCTGAGGCTACACTGTTACCACTAGCCAACTGGTGGCTCGCACCTCCGATCTCTGCCTGACACGCGGGACACTTGGCGCTCTGCATGGCTCCACCACACTCGCCGATGGCATATACGTGCCCATTGGGGCATTTGTACCAATGACCCTTCGACAGACCCATCGCCTTGACTATCATGACCTTCGTCTGTTCGCTGACGCCCAAACCACCCACACTCTTTCCTATCTTCTGCAAGAGCTCTGTGGTTTCCAGCTCGCCGTCTGAAGTCAGTGGCTTGCCACTAAGGAGCAGTTGATTGACTTTCTTCATCTGACTTTTTAATTCCTCAATACCGCTCTGCGACGTCTGTAGGACATCTGTGAACTCACATGCATCGATGCAGAGATTGAGGCGCCGGAGTTCGTTGGGAAAATCCAGCAGCTCTTGCTCAGTGCCTCGAAAAGGTCTCGCTGGATTGAACAGCCGACGTGCGACTTGTTTGGTGTTCGTCGCTGTCTGGAGGTACAAGAGTGATTCCATTACCTTCTGGGCGAGTCGCTTGTCGAGTTTCACGACTTCAATTGCGAAATTAGTTTGATTGTGAAGCAGGTTCAGTTCGTAAAGAGACGGCGATTCGGATCGTAGGGGTTTAGCAATGGTGTCCACGGACTTTTCATTGAAAGGACGACTTTCTTTGACTTCCGACAGCATTGACTTGATCTCTCGTTTCCTCTGATTGTTCTGGTCGGATTCCCCAATGACTTGACTTTTGACCCTCTCAATATCCTCCAACATCTTGTTGATGATACTGCCGTAACGTGTGCTTCGTCTGATCGGGGTTTTACATTTTGGACAAGACTTCAGTTGAATGGACACAGAGGTAGGCTCCTCCGCATCCACCGGCCTATCTGCATCGTTTCCATCAGCAAACTCCGAGGGTGAATGGTCTGTTTGTTTCATCCACTGATCCAGACCGGACACTTCAATGACGTGACCGCAGTCGCGTAGCTGCACAAAGGTGGCACCATCTTCGTCCTCACAACCGAAGAAAATTTCAGTGACTTCTTTCTTGTCACAGACACGGCATTTGGTGGGACAGGGTTCACCACACATGCCGATACAGGGGTGGCCGCATTTTTTTATAGGACGGAGCCGCTTCATGCATGGCTTATCGCACGGTGGCCGATCGCACGGTTCACTACATTTCTTGCCACATTTGTGATGGCGGCATTTCCACTTGCAGGGCTCCTGGCAGGGTGTGCATGGCTCCCAACATTTTTTCTTGCACTCGCTGTGAATGCATCGATTCTCACATTTGGCTTGACAAGGTGGACAGTTGCTGGCACACGGAAATCGGCACTTGTGCCCACACACAAGAATTCGACCACATTTTAGCTTGCAAGACACGTGTAGTCTTCCTCCAAGACAGCTGGAACATTTACCGGGACATTTGTGACCACACGCCAGAATATTGCCACAAAGAGCTGGACACTGGTCAGCATCGTCAGAGCACGGCATCATCTCTTGATGACCGCAAGGCAGATCAGAACGTAAAACCTTCTCCACGCAACGTCTGTCGATACATGGCTGCCCACATTTATTTCTGCAGGTGTGGCCGCATTGAAGTTGTTTACCACACTTCTCAACACAGTCGAAATAGGCTGGATTGTTAAAGCATTTCATCTTAGCTGAATGGTCGCATCCAGGAAGCTGCTTAACGACAGTGTGCTCGCAGACCCTTGGACACTCCTCGCCGCACAAATTCGGACATTTGTGTTTTGCCTCGCAAAATGCTCTCTCGCATGGTTTACGGCACACAAACCTCGTGTGTGAACGGTCGTCTGGATGACATGATCTGGTACAGACGTGACCGCAAGTTAAGCGAAACTCACAAGGCCGAGTGCAGCCACCATCAGGTACCTTCTTGAAATCTGCAGCGCAGGCAACCTTGGTTTCTACTTCGGGATGAACAGAACAGGCCAGGACAAGACTGTCGCCAAGCAGCTGTTTTTCTCTCATTTCACCCGTGATCGCCTTCCACTTGTCACTCTTAGCAGCCAGCTGGTCGAAGTTCCCGATGCAGAAGAGCCCCAGCTTGGCCCTCGAAAGCATGACGCAGATGCGGTTGTGTGTGCTGAGGAAGCCGATGACGCCCTCGTCATTACTTCGGACGAGAGAGAGCAAGACAATGTCACTTTCCTCTCCCTGGTAGTTATCCACTACAGACACGCGCACCCCGTCTAGATTTGGATCGTCACGTAAAAGGGCCTTGATAGACAGCAGCTGACCTGTGTATACGGTTAGAATAGTAACCTGTGAGGCGGAGTAGCCTTGCTGAAGAAGGTACTTGCTGAGAGCTACTATCATATCAGCTTCGTGCTTGCTAGAGTGGCTTTTCATCCCGTCATCGCAACTATCCTCGGTGAACCCGTGGTTGATAAAAAACATATTTTTTGTTATTCCACGTACCTTTTCCTTGCCAAGAACCGAGTCATCGTCTTGCAGGTCCTTGTAGAAGTGATTCCTCATAATCTCTGAGATCTCAGGACGCATGCGGTGTTGTCGAGCGAGGGTCTGCAGCGGGAAGTTGTTGTTGACCAGTCGTTCGAAAAGGGAAATGTCCAGGTTATACTGTTTGGCCAGACGGTAGACAGCAGGGTTCGGCTTCAGCTGCTGGTGATCTCCAATAAGTATCAGATGCTGGCAATGCTGGCTGAGGGTGGTGATGACGTGTGCCTCCATCACCTCAGCAGCCTCCTCTACCACAACAATGCGGGGCCCGACCTGCTGCAACACCGACTGCCATTTGGCAGCACCGGTCGTGGTCATGCCAATCACTTTCACGTCTCTCAGGATACGACACACCTCGACATTTTCAATCTCTTTGATTGCTGGCGTTAAGATATCGTACTCTTGTGTAGGTTTGGAGGTCGCGTTTAAGCAGTCAGTACGATACATGTCAACCCAGTGCCTGTAAAGCTTCCATTTGTCTTCAATGTGAAGATTCCAGACATCGTTTATCTCATTGGCCTCATTCTGGCTCAACCTGTCGGTGCTTCTCATGTGTCGTTCTATATATTGTAATGCTTTCAGCTTATCTTGCTTGTTTGGGCCATCCTCCCCCCTTTCCACCACAATCTTAAACTGTTCCAGTATAAAATCACCGCCTGTGTGCTCTGTCACACTTCCTCTCTTAGCTATCCGTGTGAAGGTAGATGTACCGTCCAGTTCATCGTCCAGCATTCTTTCCTCTTCACTGTCTAAATCCTCCTGATAAACATCATCTTGATGGCCACGGACCTGCTCCAGGTGAAGTCTAGATCGTGAATAATTCAACAGGAAAGACTCCAGTTCAAGCCAGTGCGAAATGATGGCCGAATCTGTGATTGGTCGACTACAAAGACTTTGAATGTGCCGAGGAGTCATAACACGCTCCAACTTCTTAAAGCCTATCACAGCCTTAGTGAAAGCAGACGCTTCTCTCACTTTGTCTTCGATTGAACGCTTACAAGCATCCCTGTTTCTCAAGAGCCTGAGTTTGTCCTTGATGATGTCCAGTCGTTCTTCATCATCGATTGCCTGCAATTTTTGTTGCTTCACATGTTTAAGGTTGTACTTTTCCAGTGTCTGACTTTTGCTTCGACTACCAATGCGGACAACATCCCCCTCGAATTGAAGTATTCCTTCCAAAAACTGGTCTAGCGCATGGTTTGTGTAGCAAACGACGAGGATAGGCCTCTTGATCTTTTCGCCGGACCATACATCACGGTTGCGTTTGTTGAGGAGGACCTCCATGATTTTCAGTCCTACGTAGGTTTTCCCCGTTCCGGGCGGACCTTGTATCACTGCCAATTCCTGCGTCAGAGCCGCATAAACGGCCCGTCTCTGTGACTCGTCTAAACAGGTAACACTCTCGCCAGGCCATGCCTCGAATCTACGAATCGGTATTTGGCCAGGATTAGATGAATCCTCTAATATCTTTGTTTCGCAAAGATTGCTTATTCCTCTCTTTTCACTATTTTTTCTCCCTTTTTCTTGATCGAAACGATAACACGTCCACACACTTCCGAACGACGGTTGGGTGTATGCGGAACTCCTCCAAGGAGCTGATTCGTCTGAAGAAGAAGTTGTTGGGGAACGTGTCGGAGAGTGTGGAGGAGGTGTCTGATCACTGATGATTTGTTGATTGCTCATTCTTGCACTACGACGAAGTGCTTGAAACGCACACTCTGGTTTGAAGAGAGACGTCAAGTCGTAATTTGCCTGTGGCGCATCCTGGAGGAATTGAGGTGCTGAAACGAGGCAAGACGCCTCAATGATGTACTTCTTAAGAGGCAGAGTCCCTTGTGTAATTTGCTGCAGTCCTTTAAGTACAGGGCGGTAAGCTTCAAAGAAGGCATCAGATTCTGCCATAATGTATTCAGTGTTATATACATCACAGTCAGTGACAGTTTCCTGAAAGTGAATGTCGACGATTCCTTTAGCGAGTTGATCTCGATTAGTGACCACGGCGAAGCAAATATTCATGAACTCGTCAGCTGACAGACACACCAGAGAGCCGTAGCGTAATATCTTTTGACTGGCTAACCGTCGAGGATTCCACCCACTGATATCAAACTTGACGCTGTATGAGACGCCATCCAACCCGCAGACCGGCTGCATGATGTGGACTTTGCGATACACTCGGACGTCATCTACTCGTTTCTGCGCGGACTCCCCCTGCTGCTGTTTGATGAAGGAACATATTCCAGCTCGCAAAGGTGCCACAAAATCCTCCCTGAGGAGACGGAACTGCGTATCGAGGTAGGAGTCAACGCTGTCATACGCCCCGTGCTTTAAATTTGGATTCAGGATCGGCTTAACGTCGATGCGTATCTCGTCCAAATCAGGAATTATGCACATCTTTCTGAACTTGTTGAGTGCTTTGTGTTTTTGCATGTCTTGGACTTCGGATAGAGTGACATTGCAGTCATCGATAAGTTCTCTGATTTTATCGAGCATGTTGTCACCTGATGAGCATTCCTTTTGCTTCATTTGTGAGTGATAGTTGGCATACAACAGACTCAATACCAAAGCTACGTGAACGGCTTGCTTTGGAAAGATTTGAAGGATCGAAGAGCAGAGGCTACATATATCTCCGACTATTGTCTCAAACTTATCGCTAAATCGTATCCTCATGATCCACTCAGGTAGGTGCTTTTTGAAGAACTGGGAGTCTGCAACTGCATTTAGCACTATCTTAAGCATGCTTTGGAAGTATGTGCCTTCTGTGCAAGCTCTTGCCAGGACTCGTAGAAGCTTCTCCATGTCATCCTCGCTCATCTCCTCCATTCCGACTATTGTCGCGAGGCATTCTGGACGACAGGCTAGCCAGGAAGCAATTTTCGTACCGGTGTCGAGCGATGTAAGTTGTCTCAAATCTCGGCGAGTTTGCTCTTTGATTTGGTCACGAGACTTTTCCTCTTGCCTGCTACCTCTCGGTGGTTTTCGAGTGGCAGATTCCCACTTACGGTTCTCAGCACGTTGGTCATACGTGCCCTGGAGTAGTCCAGGACTCCTGCTGTCACTCTTACCCCTGCTCCTTTCGTCCCAGAAGGAGCAACCAGGTCTGTCATCCGATAGCCTTCTGTTGCCCCAGTGGTCTCCAAAGTGTCCACTGTTGTGGCTCTCTCTTGGTCTTTTCGAGGATGTCAAACCCCTCCCCAATTGGCCATCATCCTCAATGGTTTTCGTGCAATGCCTTTTCCTGGAAGACATTGCAAGCTGTTTCTCCGAGCGACCCGAGTGGCATGGCACGCTGGAGTCGCAAACGCTTTCAGTTTGATACTCACGGTACGTTGGACTGCCAGAGGTCTCAAATATACGTCTGCTGTCTTTGGCATTTGTTGGTTTGCCCAGCCGTTTGAAAACGGATTGCCGTTGCTCTTTACTATCCATGCAGGAAATCTATGGACTGATGCGCAGATTTGATTCCTGCCAAAAACTGGGGAAAAGAGCGGAAAAGCCTGCAATCACGCTGTGGTTATGCTGTACGCATCAGGCCGATTCATACTACACGCGAATGCGAATGGGAAGCGAAACTATTTGCTGGTATTGGAATGTGTTCAGCTTTTGCGAATTCCCAGCGCGTAATCTCCCCGTGATTCACATTCGCTTTCGCGCCGAGTATAAAACGGCCTTAAGACCAAACAAAAAATGTCTCCGGTTTCTGGTATGGAGCTTACCCAAAAGTGGTGCGGCGACGCGGGTCCCCCCCCCCCCCCCCCCCTATTTCTGTTTCTTCAAATGTCGGCTGACTATGATGTTGCAGATGACGCTTTGATCCCCTTAAAACTATTAAAACCATCCCTCCCTCAGTCTGGCTGCCAGACGCACAATTACGAAAATTACAACACCGTGTGCAAATGGTGCCCGACTAAATTAAGTGCAAAATATATGGGAGCTCAGAGATGCCACATAAAGCTTATACTCGATCGTAACCCCATCTAAAAACACTTAAAAACAGGATTCCAGTCAAACCAGTGAGCTTGGCGGTTTTGACACATCATCTTACATTGAAAAAAATTTTTTTTTTAATTTTGCCGACGCGCATGGCATTGGCTACGGCGACGCGCGCATACCAGAAACCTGAGACTTTTTTTGGCCTAAGGTTGCTCCCTTTCCGAAACGGCTTTCCTTATAGTTTCAGGGATGCATGCACTTTGCGTATTTTTACCAATGAAACACCATGAGACATTTTTGTGAGAATTGTGACAAATATGAGTGTTCAAACTGAAAAAATGGGGGGGGGGGGTGATAAGTGAAGTCAAATGAATCATACAGTATTTTGTTTTATGTGGGAAATGCGCATATTAAAGAACTATGGATAAATTGTTGGTTCAGTTGTTATTATGATTGGCAACATTTATGAATAAAAATGAATTGAGAACATGGTGATAATATGGTAAAAGTGAAAAGTGGTGTAAGAGCTATAATGTATGCATTGGTCATCAAGTGCTTAGACACTCCCTATAGGATACATGGGACAATTCCCATCGTAGTACCCGCGTGATGAGAAAACTCTCCATTGGGTGCACAGTATAATCACATGGTGTTAAAACGTAATAGCAAATATCTTACATATAGAAAGTTACTTTGAAAAGTACCAGGAAAAAAATGATAAGGGATTCTGAAATCATTCATGGAAAAAAAAACATGGAAACATGTAGCATGAGAAAAAAAATCCCATGCTACATAGCGGTTTAACCATGTAATTCCCCAAGGAAAATTTCCCATGGGAATAACATGGGAGATTTCCATATTGGGTCATGATGTCCAAAGCCCCATGAAAGCACAAGGCAATTTCCCATGGCGATTTCCATGGACATAACATAGGAGATTCCCATGCTACATGGTGGATTAACCATGTAATTCCGTTGGGAAAATGCCTAATGGGCACAACATGGAATATTTCCATATTGGATTATGGTGTCCCAAACCCGATGAAACCCCAAGGCAATTTCCCATGACAATTTCCCATGACGATATCCCATGGGAAACCACCATGGGATTTTTGTAAGGGTGTGTTAGGAAAAATTCCTTTTTTTATTTTTTCCGAGGACGAATTGTGAACAATGGAAGAGTTCAGCAGGGTCTCATGAGTGATCACAGCATGGAGCTAAAATGATAATTGAAATCCACCTTGAGTCAATTAACTTAATGTGCATTCGTACTTGTCTTTGGCTGTCCGTGTACAAAGTAAACGTAAACAGCACCCATAATTACAAGCAGTATAAGTATTAAATGTTGAAATGTCCCTGCCAAATTTTCAATAGATTCACATGAAGGATTCTAATATTCATTTCGGTTAATACTACGCTCGGAGTAGCGGTATTCCGATGTATGTGGAATAGTGAGGCGTAGGCATGTACTTTTTTAAATGCATATAGGATTATTTGCTCGTTTCCAATAATATCAACATTCAAAATCCAAAGACGATTGTTCAAAACCTAACCTGTTGAGGTTTCAGCAAAGTGGATACTCTTCGAGAAAACAGTGAAAAACAATGCACAACCTTTTGATATCACGAAACAAATGATTTCGTTATTATAACTAGGCCCGATTCCAAAAAAAAATCAGTAAATTGACTGGCGTGGAACACTTCTTCATTTCTTCTAAATGACAGCAAGCCAGACGGAATATTTTTCTTGTTGTTAAGTGGTATATTTAATTCAAGTAAGCTTGTTGATAATCATTCGGTAGGTTACTTTGGGATAAATGCAAATGATCCTATATGCTATAAATTGTACACTGCACAGTCCATGAGACTATTATGACCCGAAGCTGAGTTACAATTGATAATGTAGTAACCAACGGAACATGTATCACCAACCGATAATGTCACAAGACTTAACCGATACTGTATCACTAACCGATAATGTAACAAAAATTAACCGGTAATGTAGTACAATTTACTACGCTATCGGTCAATTGTTGTTACATTATCGGTTGTAACCGATAATGTAACAAAAAATGACTGCTGGTGTAGCAACATTTCCTATACTATCAGTCCTTTTTTGTTATCGGTTTATTTTATTATCGGTTAGTGGTACATTATCCGTTGGTTACTGCATTATCAGTTGTAACAAGCTGTACACAAAATCCTTAACTTACTCACCAGCCATGGACCATATCATGGGAAACGTTCGGTTGGCGTGTTCGTACAAGAAGTGTACAGAGTAAGCTGCAGGGAAAAAAAACAGAGCCCCGAAATATGCATGACGGCGTTGAAAAACTGAATAAAGCCAGCAAATATTACTTTCCTAGACATAAAATTAATGATGCAAAGTGCTCAATGTATGACCGTGTCTTGTTCTTACTTTTATTTTTCACGACCTTTACATAAACAAAATGTTAAACCACTTTGGCAACTTAAGTTAAACAAAATGACAAACAAATTGTGTTGTTATTAGCATCACAATAAAAACTGCTTAAGGTTGCCAAAGTCATTATGGAATGATAAAAAGGCACTGTAAATACACGATCGCCCAACTTCCGCACAAGTTAACTGAAAACCACAAACATTATGCCATGGACACCTCCATGATGCACGTAACGGGGAATTGAGTTGTTGAGTTGTTCCGATTTCTAATGCACAAGTTGTTTTTTGAGAGGAGGGTGGATTCAGTTAGGCTTGTTGAAAACCCGACCTTGGTAAAATTCTGTCGTCGAATACAAACAAAATGGCTTAGCGGAGCATGACAACTTCACTGCTTACAATGTGTGCTGTGCATGATTGCACAGGCTAGGCAAGTACGTGTACACTGCGCATGCACCAAGCTTCGCATGAACAGCTCCATTGTGAATGTATACAATCATGTACGGACGTAATGCACTTATTATGACGTACATGGGTGTGACTGTACAATGTTCATGTTCGTGTACATGTTTGTGTACACCTACACGGGTACATGTATGAAGACCGGCTGATCTACGTCTGTAAGCATACTACAGGACGATACGAACATTTGCCTATATACGAGTAATATTGGACATTATATTATTTTCAGCAGTTTTTTTTCGGGGGGGGGGGGTGGTTTGTTTTATTGCGGTCGACGGCATATGAGCGCTTTTTTTTCCTTCGGTCCGCGGGAGCCAAGAAAGGGTTGGTCGGAAATGAGAACCATAGAATAAAAACAGGGACGAAATAAAAACACAAAACCACCTCTGCCATCACAGGTATGATCCATTTTACTGTTGAGTGATGCAGTTACATGACTTGATGACAATCGTCTAACCAAGACACATCGGAACCCCTCAAATTGAAGTCAAACCCATAATCTGCAGAATTGCACACATACACTGAATACGATGCTTGAGACCCCGTTTTCCCCAAAAAATTCAAATGTCCAATTAATTATAGAACATTTTACTTCCACTAATTTAGAAATATTCTTTAATGTTGGAACCATGCACGAACCCCCCCCCCCATGTAAAGCAACAATTAAATAAACGATAGGCCTACATTATGAACTTAAACCCTGAACTAACGGACATGAACTAAACCCGTGCAGCTATAAAAGGGACACATCAAATAAATAATTAAATAATTTGGCCATTATAAAAACAATTTCTAATTTCGACTTACCAACTTGGCAGCTTCAAGATTCCAGGAATATGCTGCAATAGAGATTTAGTTCCTTCTTCGTGAATTCATGTTCTGTAAGCAGTCACTGACAACCAGCACATAAATGTCGATGATAATAATTGAAGCTTCCTGATGTAGCTCGCGTCTTGGTTCAGTCACATGACCTCTAAACTTCCAAACCGACATCCCACTACTCAATATTGACGAACAGCGCATAGTAGATGTCGAGTTTATTTGAGCCTTGCTGTCATGAAACACGTGGTGGACTAGTGCAAAGTCTACGAACACTTGATTATATTAATTTCTCATACAGGGAAAAACCCATGTGAGAAACGCAGTCTATTTTCAGCACACTGTGACTAAGCGTGTACAAACAATGGGGCGGGGGCAATTACTCTTTTTGCAAACAAGTATAGTCAATGACTATATTGCGCAGTGTCCGTTGGTATAACGGAATGCATGGTTCTCCTCCAGAGCCACAAATGAGAGGAAAAGGGTTAGGGTTATTTATCGATTATCTGGACTTGATTTAACATATTTTAGGGCAGAATATTAAATGTTTGGAGAATGAAAAGGAAAATTTAAAGTGTCTCCATGCACGATTCGATTCTGGAACCTCCCAGCATTCAGACCAACGATTTAGCGCGGTAATGGGTTCGTATCCCTACAGTGGTTGGCCACAGCACCAGGCTCTCCCCTTCCTCGGTGGACGTCACTTGACCTGTCACTTGACCGCTAAACTTCCCACTGACGTCCCACTACTCAATACTGACAAACACTTGCCACTCAGTGCAGAGCAGATGTCGAGTTTATGTGAGCTATAGTTGTTTTGCTGTCACAAAACACGTGGTGGACTAGTGCAAAGTATACAAACACTTGAACGATATTTCTCAAACTGGGACAACCAAAAGGAGAAATAATATTATTTTTAGCTCACTCATGGGCGTCGCGAAGGGGGGGGGGGCAAGAGGGTGCTTCCCCCCCCCCGGAAAAGCAAAATAAAAAAAGGAGAAAAAAGGGAGAGGAAAGAAAAAGAGGCACGAAGTCATATTGCTGTTAATTTAATGGGTTAGGGGAGTGTCCCTGCCCACCCTCGAAAAATGATAAATCGAGAATATGCTCAAAAAGTACAGGGGTTTCGGGGGGGGTGTGCCTTGCCCCCCTCTAGAAAAAAAAAACGTGAGCACAATGCGTCTAAGGGTGAATGAGGAAGGAAAAACGTTTAAAACATACGGGTATAGGATTCGTGTTTAACTGAGGTGTCCTGAACATGCAGGCCAAATAAATCTATTATTTAGAAAAGAAGAATTTTATTTCTCACTCAACATAGCAGGGAAACTGAAATACAATTATTCAAAATAATTGTTAAGAATGAACATAATAGATCTTCTCCAACAGCTTCGTTCTGTTGGTTGTTTGTTTGAAGTATTGTGCAAATACAATATTTACCGATGAAGTGTCTGCTGTCTTATCGTTTCTGTTGATTCTAGCAGTACCATGCTCGTCTCATATCTAACTTTTATTCTCGTCAAATATCTCCCTGCAACACTGTGAGGACTATAAAACCTTCATGTTACAGTGAGTTCAATTAAAAGACAGGTAAAGGAAAAAGTAGGCGAGCGTAAAAGCATTCTCAAAAATGATATTGATATAATTTTAGTGGTATAACTTCAAACTGATGGGATCACACTCCTCTATGGCTTGCTCTCAAAACGGAGTATAAGTGTTTTATTTACTGTTGTTTGCAGACCTGCAAGATGGAGTGTTTGCCTTTTAAACTGATCTATTAGGCCAAAAAAGTCTCCGGTTTCTGGTATGGAGCTTGCCCAAAAAGTGGTGCGGCGACGCGGCTTTTTTTCTTTTTTTTTTTGCTTCAAATGTCGGCTGATGACTGCAAATGGTGCCCGACTAAACTTAGTGCAAATATATGGGAGTCCAGAGAGGCCACATAAAGCTGATACTCGACCATAACCCAATCTAAAAACACTTTAAACTTGTGCAGCAGCAGGATTCCAGTCAAACCAGTGAGTTTGGCGGTTTTGAGACATCATCTTTCATTGAAAAAAAAACTTTTTCATTTTGCCGACGCGCATGGCTACGGCGACGCTCGCGCATACCAGAAACCGGACTTTTTTTTTGGACCTTAGTACAAACAATTCTTGTATTATACTCAGGCACAAGATTGTATACGGTACGCATACACTTCCAGTCCAAAGGCCGAGGTGCAATTTAGGAGCCCGAACTTTATATGAAATATTTACATATATTTATAATGACATCGATGATTCATATAATAGTATCTTTTTTATATGTATTTGTTTTCCTTTAAGCTTTTGTATATACAAAACACTCAAGACACACCAGACTTTTTTTTAATCTAACACACAAAGATTAAGTTCACGTTTGCAAGCCATAATATCTGGTACAACGGTAGAAAAAAGTGGGTAACAAACTCGCAATTAGGCCTATCTTTGAAAACGTGCCTGTCGGTTGGCCTTTCAAAAACACCCAGCGTCTTACTCGTATTTTCCCCCTGTTGTATTACCCAATATACACATTTTAAGCCAGCCACATTCAAGTAACATACTGTAATTTTGTTTTACAAACATAATGTAGAATAGCGGGCTTCGCTTTTTTTTTTGCGTGGTACAACCGGCGTCACGTGACGATAACAAGCATGCAAGTTTCGTTGCCAAGTGTGGCATGGTCTATAGTGAGCCACTAAAACGAGAGGCATTTTTTTTCGAAATGCATCCTGGGTTATTAGTTAAAATCGGTACACCCCAACCTCGTCCCCAGGGTTTCGAGCTAGCAGTACGCGCTCACCACTACCTGCTCTCTCACCCTGGTATTGGATCATTTGCATGTGCAAAATTTGTGCACACGTATGCAAATGAGGAATAGTCTGGTGCTTGCCTGTTCGTTACATTAGTGTTTGTTTTTGTATGCGGTGTCTGGGGTAAAAACACAATCAATTCGTCGCGCCGTGAGTTACGAATACATGATCGTTTTCAGAGTTAAAATGCAATCTTATCCCGCCAATTTGCAATATCACATTTCATATTAATAATTATGAGCAAACTGGAAAGGCAAAGAGTATTATTGAGAAGGCGTGGACGTTATAATTACAATGATCGTGAAAACACGTAATGCACGTTGGAAATGACAACACCAACTACACGATATAAATACATACTAACCAATTGCAGTATCGAATCAGGATACAAGAAGAAAGTGTCCTATCTAGGGCTTACTATTGGAAACGAGGTTGGGAATAAAGTAAGCACTGGGGACGAGGTTGGTACTCCCCGTAGTTCGCTCGTTCCCACAAGGGCGTTGGTGACCCCTCATCCCTTTCCAACAACCTTGTCAATTAGGAAACGCAAGGCATTGTGGATCAGTTACGTATCTAGTAGGTTATTCGCTGTATAGACTGGTCTAGCTTCACATTCTATTTTTAAACCCCCCCCCCCCCAAAAAAAAAAAAATCTTAGACCTGTCATAAAAATCACAGTTCATGTCGATGCCAAATTCATCATCTTAAAATTTCAAAAGAGAAATACTTATCTAGGGGAAAATTAGTGTTGTGTCAACAGGTGGGGGAGGTCGGCACTGCAAAATTTGAAAAATGTCTCCATTTCCTCTGAAATGTTCCGAAAATTGTCACAAAGAATTAAACAAAAAATAAAAAAAATTACCTAAATTTTCCAGAAACGTGCATAGCTTTTCAATTATCCCCTAAACGTAAAAAAAAGAAGTTTTATATGAAAACTCTTTCAATTTTCAGATTTTTCTCTACTCATGTGAAGCCAATTTTCTTTTAAAGGTATTTTAGAACGGCACCTGTTTTACATTATAATTTATGTATACATTCTAAACATATTAGTTTATACATTGTACATCTATATTCAGGGTAATACATTGTTCACGCTTAGAAGTTTGTCCTAACTTTCAAAAAGTTTTTCAAAAAGCTTTTCAAAGAGGTTGGAAAAGGGACGATCCGTTTGCATTGACCAAAGTTCTGTGTCTGCCATAACAATTTCTATATCAGGCGATTTCCATGTGTATACACCATTCGGAGAAACATATCTTCCATAATAAATTATTATTACGGAAAATTGTAGCCTAGGGAGACATTCCCATAGGTTTGTGATTAGAAGCACCGGGAAAGCAAGAGCTTGAGACTGAGTGTCCACGGATTGTGTGGTTGATATGTTGCTTCGGGCCTGTTAGCCCCATGTTCCTAATGCCAGCTTGCCCAAACCAATTCAATATCAGACGAATAAGTTGGCAATAAATAACTTGAAGCTGTGGCGAAACATCACAAAATCATGTCTTGAGTTTCATCCATCAAAAAGTCCAAGTTTAGCCCTATTATTATCAGCAGCATTGAGAAAGCAAGAACTTGAGATCTTCCAAAGACTCAACTTGTTTACTATGAAATTTGACCTGAGTGTTTAAAGGTGGAAATACGTATGTTCGCAGAAGAGAAAAAACACTTTACGCCCAAAACGCTACGGAACACTTGGAATGCTCTATGGAATATGAACGGTTTCAGTGGAACATGTTACGTCAGTGGCGTAGCCAGGAGGGGTGCAGAGTGGCAGATTGCAACGGGAAGGAGATTTTAAATGGATCACAGGGACGACAAATGCTATTTTGCAATGGGCAAACATACCCTGGCTACGCGCCTGTATTAAGTGTTACATGTTGCAGCAAAAACACGCTGTACGCGTGTTCCAACAAGAACAAGCGTTTTGTCGGAAAACTCTTGTTTATAAACACGAGCGCAGTTGGAATACCGATTTGGTTTATTATAGAAAACAAGTCTATGCGGCTGGGAAATCATATCTATCGTATATAGGATCGCGATTTCAACATCTTCAATAAATCATACATTCAGCCTCTTTATCTCAATCAGCAGCTTCCTCATCAACTGCATCCATTGGCCTTCAATGGACAAGTTGCAGTCTGAAACATTCTCGTGGAAACATCGAGAAAAATGTCCCGCGTGAAAAGCAACTCTGCTTGTTTTTATTAAGGAGACTACGTCGAGACCGTGTTGCTGATAGGCCTCGTGTGATGACACATTCATGGAATTGGTCTGGTGCCGGTTAGCATCCACTGGCACGCAACCATGAAACAGCTTGATAAGAGAAGTGGCCAACTGCACCACGTAGAGCTAGGTCGGAAACCTGGGTGGGAATACAAACCATCTGATTACAATCTGAGTGAGTGATGAATCTTCAAGTTTAAACAACTACGAATTTCATAGACTTGACTCGAGTCAAATTTAAGTCGATACCCGCAACACCGCTGCCATGACAATCCAGCCCTGAATGTCATCATCAATATCATGACCGAAGCGTGACAAGTACATGTTGGTGTGGAACTGACGCGTGAGGGCGCGCGTTATAAATAGCTTGTAAGTTGACTGTGCAGTGTGTTTTCGTGTACGCATAATTTATATGCCCAGACTCAGCGCAGCACCCGACTTAGGCCGAGTCTACGGATTTCGATGCTCGCAATTACCATTTTGTGCTTACAACGCCACTAGAAATTTGGCACAAACCCCATAAGCCTTGAATCCTTAGTTACGGAGGTACGCGTGCGCATAACTACAAATTATGCCTTGAAAACCCGTTAGAATTTAGATGACACTTAACCCTCGAGAAAATTCTTATCGTTGGTAAAAAAAAAAAAAAGAATCTGCCAAAGATCGACTCGGGCATTAAATCCCCGTACACTCCACTTCAGTAATGAAAAGAGGCTTTGTGTACAAAACAACCGCTACATGACGGTTACTCTGAACAGTAACTGGCAGAGTATCCTTTCGTCATTATAGATCGTTTGCACTGCAGCCATCTTTGAGGTACATGTATATGGGGTTTTTTTTCAATATGGATGCGCATGAGTAGACCTCTCGTGCATTCATTGTTAATGAATGAACATGACAACACACACCTTTAACACAGCAGCTGAATGCAATCGATCTATGAGCTCCGTGCACTACCAAAAGAGGGCGCCCTTTTACCTAGCAACGACGTCCCATGGGCGGGACATTTCGCTGGTTGACGCGCACCGCTCCTTGTGTGTGACCCACGTACACCAGGGGATTTGTTCTATTTACACGCAGTGGCCGCGCTTCGCAGCAAATGAATTGCAGTCAGGCAAGATGGCGTCGGTCGGTCACCCCCTGCTCTACTTCCTTTGCCGGTGAGGGGGTACTTGTGAACGGAGTGGATAAGGGCTTACAGTCACGAGAGTACAATGATCACAAAAGCCATTTTCACGGATACCACCATCAAGTTGTTGTCAAGTGCATATCAGGGGTCATTGCCACAGAAATATGCCCCATCATTCTCTGGTTATGATGGCATGATGGAACGTTTTTCTATTGTAAAGCCCGTTAAGATTGGCACTGGCCAACAAACCGTGTTACATTTTGTTTAAAAATTGGATGTTGTGGTCACGCGTGATGCCAACTTTCAGCAAACTGTTCTCTTGTGCACTGCGTGTGTGTCTCTTGAAATGTGATTGGTGTAAAAAGGTGACATAAACTGTTTAAATGTGGGCAAAATAAGGCCAAAAAAAATATTCGGTCTCTGGTCAGACCAAAGTTCTGGAATTGACGCGGGGACGCGGCTTTTTTTTTCTTCAAGCTTGGATTGTACAGACAAGGTGGGGTACTATTTTGCTTTTTTGGTGTCCTCATGTACATTGGTGTCCTCCATAATTTGCCTTGGTGCTCTCGATCATTTGCCTTGGTGCAATTTCCCATTCCTTGGTGCTCTTTGATAAAAAAAAACTTGAGGAGGTGCGGCAATAGAGGGTGCTGTTGAAGCTACCGCGGAACATTTTGAAAAAAAAAGATTGACGCGCATTATTAAAATCGGCGCGCGCGCTGACCAGAGACCGACTTAATTTTTTTTTGGCCTAACATGCAAAAGATGTTTAAATGTTCGGGTTGCCCGTCCGTGTCCAGTAGGTCGTCCACTGTTATGACATCACAGGTAACACTGTCTTACAATAAAGATGGCGGTGTCCGTGAAACGTGAAACTTAGACGTGTTAATGCAAAGTTTACTTTCTTTCAGAGCTCAATTACATGCCAACAATGAAGACTCTGTACCGACCTGCGTTTCGAAGGTGGCAGTTTGGTGGTTCGTCTGAACCATCTTCGCACTGGTATTCCTTATTACACGAGGCTTCCTTGGTGATGCACCGCTTGGTCATGTGACAGATGAACCCGTCGCAGTCCTCTGCAGAGGAATGAACCAAAGACCAATATCTACTGTTGCATTATACATGTAGCATGCATTTTTGCTATGCCCGAGAGCTAGCCATTTCTCCTTGATTATCAACACATGGCTGAACTTCGAAATTCACGTTTCATGTATAAGTGAAACATAAAAGAGACAGAAACCGGCTAGTTTGCGCTTTCGCGACGGAGGACGTCAGAAGCGTGTGTATAAACGATAGAGGACGTCATGCTCTTCGCCTACTTGACACAGAACCTTCACTAATAAGTCTCGTAAGCAGATTTTGCAATACATTTACAGGGCGGGTCAGAAAAAAAGGGAAACCCAAATGGCAAAAGCAATTATATAATGATGTTCTGCATGTAGCACTTTCAAAATCTAGGATAATAATAATTCAAATTACACTTTTTCAATGTACTTTTTAAGTTACGATATTTTGAACACAAACGCCATTTTAACACAAGCACCGTGGACAAGTTCTGACCATGGATCACAAAAAAGGGTAAGCATCCTTTCGGCAAAAACGAAAACAATTCACATAGGGATGTATGTGAATTGGGTTTTTTTCAGCAAAACGAAAACAATTCACATAGGGATGTATGTGAATTGTTTTCGTTTTGCTGAAAAAAATCTTACCGTTTTGGTAATCGGTTGACAGGACTTTAAAACGGTGCTTTATGTTTAAAACTCCGTGACTTTATGTATAGGTCACGCTCAAGTTCATCAGGGGAGGCGGCACAGCCTAAAAGCACAGCATCAGGTGGTATAAGTGCGAGGCTGTTGCCTGTCCTCATTCACACGGTGTGTTATGAGGTCACACAGGTCACCGGTCTAGGGTCATTCGAACGCACTTTCCCAACCTCGTTTCCATGGGTACGATCTTGCTGTGCCATGTTGTTTCCCATCATGCCTTGTGCGATCTGAACGAAGCAACGCGCACGCGAAGCCCCGACTCCATGAGTGCGTGCGCGTTCCTTTACTAAGATCGCGCAAGACATGATGGGAAACAACATGGTGCGGCAAGATCGTACCCATAGAAACGAGGTTGGCGCATACGCCCATGGAGTGGAGGCTGGCACTTGCCTGCATGGCGCAGCTCTTCAAAGAGGTCAAAAAGCGCCATCTTCTGTTCGCGCGTGGAGTCCCTACTATTCAAACCTGCCCTGAACTTACCGTTCTCCGCAAATGGCGTGATGAGCACCGTAAAGCCGCGGAAAGAGTTGTTACTCCCGTCCGTGACGAACTTGAGCGTGACCTCGTGACCTGTAGAGACGAAATAATTGGGCAGGGACAGCGTGGTGCCGCAGAGGGCGTGCTTGTTGGCCGACAGTAGCTTGTCGGTCGCCTCCCTTCCGCCGTCGTATAAGTAAAGACCGTCCCTTGAGCAAAATCTGGACGTCTCGACCTGAATAGTTTGGAAGAAAATTATCCAGAAAAATGTAAAACACGGTGGGTCTTGTATCTCGGGTACATTGTCGGTGATGTCACGAACAGATATCGGCAATGGTAATAATTGCAGGACAACTGAAACCAATTCAAGGCAAGTCATTATCCAGTCTCTATTTTGGGTGACGAATTCTACAAGCGAATTGTGACAAGGGTTTTCGTCTGTCACCGTGTTTATCCTCCGTCACTTGTGACCAGTGCTCAATTTCTGCTAACAGAGCCTTCCTCTGTTTCATAGTGACCGTAAACAGTAAGCACAGCAAAGGAACGCTTACTTCAGATGAAAAAGTTGCTTAAATCAGTGACGTAACGTAACACCAATAGATTTTCAAATTGAATGGATACATTTCTAGCATTACAATAGTTATGAGCTTTCCAATGAGACATCGAACGAAAAAAAATCGGCCAACGATAAGTAACGAATTCATTTATTTCAACTTTTGAATTAGGAGCGTCCCGCTCCTAATTTCGTTCGGAAGTCAGCGAGACCTAGTTTGCGCATGCAATAATAATCTCAACACCATGCAATAATAATCTCAACACCATGCACAGACGTGCATACCTACAGACTAACTGTAAATAATGTGCATGTACATGGTCATGTACAACTTTTCTGCTGTTGTGCAGCGCCATGAAATTGGGCCCTGACCTGCAATGATTGATGGCAACTCTGCCTGCTATGGGATAACCTTTGAAGGTTATATACATTACAAGGCTATATAAATGTTCTCAGAGTTGTTAAAGGACGGAGGTCTGGTGACTGAGGGGAGGATCATATCTTATTATTTTTGGAGGGGGGGAGGATCATATCTTATTCTTTGGGGGGGGGGGGGGGGGTGGCGGGTAACATTAAAAATTGTATACGGCCAGGCATTCAAAGTTTGTCGCCCCCAATCCTAATAAAATCTCTGTATGACAGTTCGCCGCGGTCTGGCTGTTCAGGAACATTTCATTTAAAGCCCTTTAAGAACTTTCTGGCGCAGGTGTGTGCAATTCATTACGCTTGCAAATTTAACGATTCGCCTTACATTGATGTATTTATATATAGACAGGCACATAATTGTCCGTTCTCAGAGGTACAGTTCCAGCTCGTAACTGACAGTTTGATAACGTTAAGCTTCGTTTTGCTGTTGATTTCGTCTTCGTTTTGCTGAAGGTTTTGTCCTCGTTTTGCTGTAGGTTTTGCCTTTGTTTCGTTGTAGATTTTGTTTTCGTTTCGTTGTAGATTTGTCTTCGTTTTGCTACAGGTTTTGTCTTCGTTTTGCTCTATAGTTTTGCTCGAGGTGGCAGGTGCTATACGGTTGATGGCGTACCCGCTGACGGACCAATTTATTTTAAAGGGGAAGAAATACATCCCTCAGAAAAGCATCATTAATTATATGACACCCCATTTGAATTCAAGCGCAACTCAAACAGCTGCGACAATGAACCATTATAGTTGTGATCGTGGTTATATGGGAGTTCGCATTAGCATCTAAATGAAACACTCATATTAGAATACCCCTACAAAACTTGAAAGTCAAGGTAAATACTCCCCAGGGAGCTGATATGGTATTTGGAATGCTTTATGGGCCCAATGAGCAGGGGTAATAACGATGTAGCGGCTTGAGCACCAGTCCTGGTGGATACGTGCGCTTTATAAATACCCACTATTATTATGATTATTAAATTGGACACAGACCCGTTTTCCAATGGACCGTTTTAGATTAGGTCGTTATCCCCGCCCACCCTCGGCTTGTGTACATCTCTCAAAGTAGTTATGACCAGGTATGGCCAAGCTGTATACCATGGTCATGTGTGACCAAAAATCGTGATGCAACTGGTCAATCGTGCGCATAGTTTGTTTGATTGACAGGAAGGATGGATTAAAAGGTTCTGCTATTAGGACCTCTTAGAGCACACCTCCCCCTCCCCACCTGAAGTTAGGCAATTGATGGATACAAATCTACGTTCTGTGTATCTCCTTCACCTCAAAACTGGAGAGTCTCAAGAAGTTCCGCTTGCCCCGTTGGGTACGGAAGGTGATGGTGCAACTGACGTTGGCGAGGTACGATGTCTGTTCCGGTTCGTCTCCAAGTTGAATCTGCTGCGAAACCACCTTGAACTGATCGCCGTTGTCGACGATGTAGCCACACGTCTCTCCTGGCATGGTGACTAGGGGGTAACAGCGTGAGACACATTTAATCTTAGTATGAGAAGACATTTGGTTAGAAAATATTTTGCCCGACAAGAGGCAATCTTCCATCTTATATACACAGTATTCGCCCTTTAAATTTAAGTATCGGAAGTTAAAGGGACAATACAACATTTGCAAATATCAAAAAATAAAACCACCAAATTATTTAAAATACCTTGCTGGACTGTTAGTGAAGCATCCTGTAAAATCATGGCACCTGATATACTGTCATTTTCAAGAAAAGTTGTATTTTCGTATCAATTTCCAACGCTGGTCGGCCGACACCAATGCAGTGCGCCACCAAGAGTTTGCCATGGAGAGTCAGTTTTTCAAATTACGGTCGACAAAACAAGGCCCATTTGAATGAGTGTCATTGAACAACCTTAGCTAATTGGCTTTAAATTTGGGTAAAGCGTTATGCCCCCTTACTAAAAACACCATATTGATACAAAGAAAAGAAAAATTATACTCGAATCATACGCTTACGAAACTACTGACCGGAAATAATGCACTAGGAAAAATGAACTCTCCGTGGCAAACTCTTGGTGGCACATGAAACACCCGAATTGCCCGGCCGTGGATATTCGCAAGGGGGGGGGGGCTGGACACCTCAAAATACCTCAAAATCCTCTTTTTATTTCTCATCTCAAAAAAGTGGGCGATTATTCAATAGCCCATCCCCCGGTCGGAAAGTATGGGGGGTATAGACCCCCACCCCGGGAATTACGCCCCTGATGACGGCGCACGGAGACAACGAGCCTGCCATTCGCATGGTCTTTTTTCGTGTCCGGGTTGCCATACGCTTTAACTCAAGTCTACGGTCATGAAAAGGTCTTTGAGATGAAACAAAGCAAATCCATGAACCATTGGCGACTGAACGATCTAAATTGGGGTCGTTTTATGTAGTTAACAAGCGAGTATAATTTTTACTAACACCTGCACATGTAATACGCCAACTGGCGGCGGCGGAACGTTTTTAAAACTGGGGGCATCCCCAAAAAGAGGCATTTGCTCAGAAAAAAGGCACCTTCCGTCGGTGTGAAGGAGGAGAACATTGTGAAACTGATTTCGTTCACATTGCAAGGAATACATGTTACCCAGAGCAACATCAAGCCAGGCCAAACTGGTATAGGTCCTAGCTCTAACAGCCTGTTGGCACCAATTCTCGAGGGCGTCATTCGCTTCTCAAAGTGGGGGTGGTACATACATGTGTATCTTGATCAGTACTAATTGTGCGAGTGCGAAGCCTAAACGGCGCGGGTTCGGGGCCCTTAAGCGGGCCCCTGATAAAAAATGGATTCTAGGCGCCTTGTGGTGCGATCTGAGGCAATTTATGACGACTGCCAAAGTTTTAGCGCAAGATCATCATTTAAACATCTTTTCCGAGTTTGGAGTCATTAAATCAGCTATTCTGAGCTGTAGATTCAAATGTAGGCTACATATTTTTATTCAGGGACGAAAATCGTTGGGGAACGACATCAGTCCCCCCGTTCCTCACCGATCGACGCCCATGGTTGGCACCGTGCTTCAGAACCACAGACTTTACCGTACATTGTATACGTAGGTCCAATGCATACATGCTGTACAGCGTCAGTTGGTGAAATCGAAAATTCTGAGAGAGACCCTAAAACTTTTTAAAAAACTTTTCTCTGCGCGTGTGGGTGTGTGGGTAGGCCTATGTGTGTTATGGCACACTGCGGTATTTTCGTAGGCTCCCCCCAAGTTTTCGTAGGCCCCCAATTTTTTTCGTAGGCCCTCACATTCGCATACTGTGCCTATTAGGTAATCCGGGCCTAATTCATGCGCTCAATTTAAACATTACACAAACCAAGGAAGACGGTGCCTTGCTTAAGGGGTCCATGAAATGAAATTCATACTGGAGCATATTTGTAGCAAATATATCGATTCCACTAAAATGTATAAAACCTATGAGACATCTCTTTTTGGTATACACATTTTCAAAACATTTTTTTAACATTTAATAGTTTCATGTTTTCCCTCACAACTGAGGGCGCTGTTGCTGTGATGTCACCTGAGGAATACACTCTTCAGATAAGGGTTTTAACATTGTAAACCAGAACATTCTGCTTATTGGAAACATTTTTCCACACAATTTTCTCATTGTCTTACTGTCATATACCGAAATAACAATGGACCACTGAACGCAGAAACATAATACCACAGTCAACCCGAGAAATATGCCTTTGAATGAGTAATGACATCACAGTTTTGCTCATGAATATGACAATTTTCATTAGCATAAAAAGCTACCAAACTCCGTAGGAATGGCAATTCGAAGATTAAAAATGAAATTAACATGGGCAACAAAAGTATATTTCAAGGATTGCATTTTTTGTAATCCATTATATTGGCCCTTCAAAATTCTTAAGATACACCCTATACATAATATACAGTGTACTAATGTACACGGCTGGTCAGTCTTCTGTATAGCTACCACGAATCGGCCTATACATGAATAAAAGATTACACTCTCGAACCACACCTGCTTATATGTTATCCCTACGGCATTTTGCCCGAAGCGGTTGAATAAATGATGTGACAGTGAAAGACGCACGCCAATTATGAGCTCGATGACAAACATGGCCGCTCCTGCACGAGATGTTTGACCGACACCAGGCGTGCATATCATTCAAAACCTCAGTAAGAAAATGTCATCACTACATGTAACACATTGAAGTTGTCATTGTGGGGCAGATAGGGGAAATATTTGGGGGGAATTGTGCCTTTGATGATACAAGCATGGAATTTGGCACACAGTCAAAATATATAACAAGCAATTTTCAAAATGGCTGTCACTGCTTGTTATTCTTCCTAGATTTTTTCAAAGGGCAAATCTGCCATGGCCCCATAGGCAAATATCTTTCTCATGACATACTCTGACTGTGTGCCAAATTCCCTGCTTGTATAATCAAAGGCTCAATCCCATCACGTCACCTACCTGCAATACTATCAACAGACCTTTCCTTTCTAAACTAGTCTGTTGTTAAATTGCAATTTAATTCCTCGTTATCAGGTAGATATAATCGAGGAAAGACATAGACATGTACATTTCATCCAATGAATACAAGCATAGACTGACAACGTGTCAGAATTATGCATTCTGCCCGCTGATTAACATGAAAAACCAATTATGTGAACATGACTAGACTTGGTAGGCGAGCTGAGCCTGAAAGTGTCACTTTTTGACATTATTCATAGAGACTCAGTCGGGGAGTCAGTCGGGGAGTCAGTCAGTCGGGGGGGGGGGGGGGAGTCAGTCAGTCAGTAGGTGACTTCGCCTGAGAACAAATGGCTAGCCCTCGGTGTCCAGCGAAAAAAAATAATATATTTCATCCTTTTTTCATCTCCTGTTATGCCAATATTTGTTAATCTCAACATAACCTTATTAACCGTTAGAAACATGAAGCCACTTTCAAGAAAAACCCTGAACAATATTTTTTTCTACTGTACCATTTTATTATATAAAATAATGTTTTCCTGAAGATATTTGAACTTTGCGATCTAATAACTTATACAACGGTGCTCGATGGCAAGTTACAGCGTTCTCTTTAAGACCAGGCCTACGTACGAATCGATTCGTTGAATAGAATTCATGGGACTACACAGAGCACTAAAACTGAATGGATTGAATAACTAACCATTCTAAATGCGTGCAGGGATTGCCGGCTGGTTGTTTTTTCCCTCATTGTTTACCAATTTGAAACCAATGGGTTTTTGCAGTGACGTCCAACCGGCAACATAATTCATTATCGTTAATATCAAATATTTATTTAATCTCCGGTTATTTATTAATTACGTCCGAAGAGATGGGCACACGTGGTCTTTGCATATTCTCTGTTGCTGTGTATTGCTCATCGTCCTGTACTGTACACGTAGGCCATGTCTTCAGCCATGGGTCTTGTTCACGAGTCGGCCATATTGGATTGAGAGTGAGGTAAAATCTTCCTTTTTTTGGAACTTGTGTAGAGAAATAAAAGCAATGACGTTACAAACTAACACCAGTCTGCTCCAATGAATAATTTAGAATTTGTGATTAAACATACACTAATGTTTTAAGCCATATTTAAAAAAAAAAAATAATGAAAGTGAGGCTAGAATGAATAAATAGTCTGGCACCATCCCATTCAACAGATCACAATATATAAAACACATTCAGGGAACTCGACAAAAATGGCTTCCTCGTTTAAGGTCCATTATTAGTTGTCATGCAAGATCACGAAGCCACTGGTACACATGACATGGTTACCAACGGTCCTGTGGGTACCATCGTCCATTTAGATATTTGTTCATCCAAGCAAACCATGTTTGTTTTTATTTATTTTTTTATAGCGTGCAATTGTAATGTTTTGATGTTATGATTGGGCAATTTCTGTGGGTGGTGCAGTGTATTGTTAATATTGATTACCGGTACAATTTTAATGAGAGACGACAACATGTAATTTCCAGTTTCGAAATTAATGAAGTTTTATCTATCTAGCTATCTAAAAATGACCCGGATGTAGTCCTTTAACAGTGAATGTATTCAAGTAAAATCTATATACTTTTTATTTTATCCAGAAAGATGAATTTAATATATTCAATTTTTTCAATCTGAACATACTTTTTAGTGCATAACAATTGTTCCATAACAACTATATTTTGTTTTAATTAATGACGCTTCAAATAACTGACCAAAATAAACAAATATACCTGTCATCAACACAGCCTTAAGTGCTGCTCCGAGCAATAATTTAGCCTAGCTGTCGACGTGCGCACGAGATAATTATTAACATGAGAAGATCCAGCATGCACCAGCGTATTATTAGTATTACATTTCCAAAAAGAAATATTTCGCATACACGAGGTTGGCCCACATGCAGAGCACAACGCCGATATTGACAAAATAAACAGCCATCGTGGAGAAAAGAGGGAAAGGCGCGAGCATTTTATTACGCCATCGTCTGAAGTGGCTGGGCAAGGGTCGAGAGTTTGTAATGAATAAAGGATCTTGAGAAAAATAGCCCCTGGAACAAGCCGGCTGCTCTTGAACGCGCGGTAGAAAAAAATATCAATATCCGGACGAAGCCGGCTGAGATTTTTTTTTTTTACTTTATGGATTCATTGTTTGAAAGCCGGAAAACAGCCTACAGTTTCAGTGTTAATATTTCTGACGGCTTTTTATCAATAAGCGGCGCAGTGGCAGCTGTAAATTAATGAGAGGAATTTCCTCCTAAACACGCTCGGCGTTAACATATTCAACTCGTGATTTTAAAAGGATTTTTTTTTTTTATTTATCATCTGTTTAGAGGTTTACAGGGTCAATGAAAAAGAAAGTGACTGAATTAGAAAAAAAATATAAATATGTGGCTCGCTTCATTTCATAAAAAAAACAACTTAGGGATAATGTACATGTTATTGATTAGTAACTATGAAGATTTCACGTTATTTGCAAATATTCCCAAGTTATGTCTATTTTAATATAAAAAAAAAAGAGGAGACTATTCAGTTGTCCACCACTGATCATTTACCTGACTATTTACTGATAAATACCTATTAAATACATTGACACTTGGACGGGTTCCCATAAATGTAACCATTGAAATTCCTGCTTAGAAAGGTGAAATCTATCTAAAATCCCTCTTTAAGTCTAACAAGCATATGCACTTGCCCTTTTCATGACATGTCATCCTATACAGCGTGTGCATCGCTATTGACTTCAAACATCCAAATATTGACCAATTTTATTGATTCATGACTCATTTTCACTTCGTTTCTCAATGACTTCCATGGCTTCATAGGTTAAAGCTCCCCCAAAAAAGTACAAGAAAGTATATCCTTTCATTTGCGATTTAATGATCAGTGCTGCGTTACGCATGGCTGTCTAGTGGCTACAGCCCCACATGATAATTATCATTCCAAAGTCATTAACAGTGCACAGTAATACTTCTCAGAGAATAATAATACAGCAATAAAAAATATTGTGGTAAATATTCAGACAGTGATGGCATGTATTTCCTTCATTTAGTTCGCAAGCGCTTCAATAATTCAGGACCATTCATCTCAAGGACATATGATGGGACCAGTGCTCGGGGTATACAAACGATTACTGAACAGGGAAATATTAATTGTGTTCCGTTCTGCCTAACACTACACCGATGTTTCTGCCTTTCTGGCGCGATAAACGCAGAGCTCATCTGGGATATTCAGAAATCATTGAAGCTCTGAAGAATTTCACACTGACTTGGAAGTTAAATCGACCATAAAGAAATGTCCTTTCTTGATGTATGAACCGACGAAGCATACTTTTAGGAGATTGAGCTTTTCCTGGCTTTTCTCGAGACTGACAACATGACAGTCTTCGTGTGAATATCACGGTAGCGCATGTTATTAGAAGTAATACTATGTGCTTTCAAATACACGCGAATTCTTTATCATTAGTTTGACAGCCAATCTTGGTCAGAGATACTGCAAAATCCATAAGACTAAATATCAAACTTGTTTGATCGTAACAAGGTCATATTTTTTATACTTTCAGGTCATCAATTTTTTTGGTGATAAGCTAACTGATAATAAAATGAGAAACAAATTCAAGCGTGTTTAAAAAACAATGAGCTCGGGTGTTTAAAACAATGTTTCGAAAAATGATGTCTTGTGGAGACCCGGGTGTAATACGGAACAAAATATTGTACAGGTCTGCACAAGGCAATTTCTAAAGGTGAAAAGGTCTCCATAAGGATTTCACGAAATAGATATATGGATTTTACTCAAAAAGTAGGAATTTCCAAGTACTTATCAGTCGCAAATTCAAGTATTTTATGTAAGGGATATTTGGTCAAAATGTCAACCCCGGAAAGCAAATTCTGGTTAAAAAAAAAAAGGGAGCATTTTGAAAGAAGCTTTCGACCCTCTCATGTCTCCACAAGGAAACAAATTTGAGCGGCATTCTATAATCATTGTAAATTTTGAAACCGGGGTGAGAATTTCCGTTTTCGTCATGGCTAAATTATTGACTGGGAGGCATCAACCAGGTGTTTACCATTATTCTCAATGTTATACCGGGGTGCTATATCTCATTTATGCTGTCTGATCATGTACAAACAAACGAATAGCACCTTGTGACGCAGCATGTAGTCGTGTTATTGCTCAATTGCCGGTGAAAATGCAGGCTTCAGTTCTATGAGCTAAACATTCACCTTTGACATTAACAGGTGAAAGTTCATGATGCAAGTCACGTGAACTTTCATCAATCGTTACAAGATCGTTTTATGTTGTATAATAAATCATCTACTCGCTAAAATTGGCAAGCTTGAGTTTACGTCTAGCAAGCCCCCAACTCAATGTGGCTTTTGACCTTGGTGCTTAAAAACAAACTGGTTTTAAATTACATGATACATCGATTTTTCTTTGTGGTCTTAGATCTAACTTGCCTGAATTTAAAGCTGACATGAAACATCGATTATAACAGTTCTGATTATTTTTTAGATGATTGTGATTACTTCTAGTTGATCACGGTGAAATCAGTGAGAACATATGAATCGTGTTCTTTTGCAAAATTATTTTATAAAATTATATAGTGGTGTGCACGGGTAAGTATGGGAGTCAGATACCCTATTGTAGTGGAATGAGGGCACCCGGGTAGTACTGGACCCTACGAAGCAGGAGACAGGGCTCCGTGGCCAACGGGTGATACTCAAACTAGTACCCAGGTACCCGTAACAGAAACCCAACCCCAAAATTAATATCCCGGAAGTTGCTGTTCAAATTGTTCATACCACATCGCTGCGTCAATATAGCAAGAAACGAGTGTGTACATGTTTAGTCGGATTGCGGTTTTAAAATGCCCATAAGCTTGAAATCTGTTTTGCTTTTCCATGTATCCTGGTTTTCATTTTGAAAATTCCCCACGAATGGCATTCAAAACCTTTCTTTTTTATTGCCCAAGAAGTTACTGAGTAATTTGTAAAATTGTTTACGGGTACCCGATCCCATTATGGAACCGGATATACCCGATTCCGATGCACATCCCTAAATTCTGATATCTTAGAGAGTAAACCCACTATATAACTGATCACTCCCTCTCCTTTCACAGATCGAGGTTTTATTTGTGGGACAGATCTTTCAGTATTCCTTTTGCCACGAATTCCCTTGTCCTTTTTCCACGAATTTCGGTATTTTTACTAATTAGACTACGAGCAACAAATATAACCTGATTGCGACAGTAAAATTTTGCCTCTAAAGGGGGGCTGTGGAATTGGGGAGACATGAAAATGTCTCCCTAATGACCAGTGTCTCCCTATTGTCGAAGAAATTACGATAACGTGTCTCCCTAATGGTACATTTGTAGGAATAGACTTATTTGTTGAACGGATAATTATTAAATGTAAGTGGGTTGTTTTAAATGTTTTTGCTGGCAGATCACAGACATGTTTGCACGTTGAATACATGAAGGTACATGTAGGCCTAAATGTACGTGCGTGAGCAGATGATTTTGAGATTTTGACAAAAAGCTAAAATACAAATCAGTTGTACTAAGTTACCCTACTTGTACAACTATTTCGATATAGGCCTAATAGTTTGACCTTTCTAACGTTACAAGGAATGCATGTCCTCTTGAAATTGCAGATTTTCTGTTCACGTTGTAACTACATTTGCACCATGGACGTGTGTATTGAACCTCGAATGTCGGGTAATAATTGTCAGAGTTCTTTTACATCCCTGCGTTACATGTACATCCTAACTGTGTTTATATCTGAAATATTTATCTTCGATTTTTCTGTTGCAGATGGCTCCGTTTCATGTCGACGTATTCCTCGAGGTGTTAGTGGCGTTTAAATCGAATTATGGCCAACTTGAAGTTACTAATTCCATTCTTCTGAAGGAAAAATATTCATGACATGAATGAATTTTAATTTATAAATGCCTTATGAATGAAATGCAATTGAAATGAATTAATTTGAGCAGGTGTTGCGTTCTTGTCATGCTCCTGAATAAATGTAATTTTGAATTCTACCTACTGAGTGTCAGCGGCCGTAAAGAAATTAGGCTTCCGTGCGTTATTCAATGGCAGTTGTCCGTTGCCATAAGGCTTATTATAGCCGACTTGAGTTTACTAATTCTATTCTCTGAAAAAAATATTCATGACATGTGTATGAATTAATTTGAGCAGGTGTTGCGTTCTTGTCATCCACCTGAATAAATGTAATTTTAAATTCTACCTAGGCCTATATACTGTCAGTGTCAGTGTGGTCATGGTGGTCATAATTTTGTAAACCGCATCAAACCAGGAAGCAAAGAAATTATCGCGCATTATTCAATGGCAGGTAATTAATGCACCGAAATACACTTGCTTTAAAATTCAATTAAACACGTACGTTTTCATTGACAACGGATCATTGATGCTATATGATGACAGCGTACATGTGAATGACTTACATTGTTTCGGTGAGGTACCTTCCCCCACGGCAGTCAACACGATGAGGATAAGGAAGGAAATGGCACTACTCCATCTTGAAATCGAAGACATTAAGCTGCCTCCGCAGCACAATGTGGTCTCCATCTTGAGTTTACTCAATCGGCGAATGTCAAGTTCTAGTCTCGCAGTGATGCCCGTAAACCACTGTTGTTATCCGAATCGGGTTTTTTTTTGTTCGTTGCAGACCACTAATAATTCAGCGCCGTGCGGTCTCCAGAGACGCTCTATAAACTTATTGGATATTCCAAGGAGCTGCCGCTTGTCTGGGCTCCATCATAATGAAGATCACACTTCGCTGGCCGAGACGGGAGATGGAACTGCGATCGTGGAATTGTTTGTCGAGACAGCATTCAAAACTGCTCACTGTTCACGTCTGTGCTATGTATATGTATATATGTACTAGTACTAGGAAAGCAAGTTGACCCGCACGGGCATATATCGGACCCGTTGCTCGGCATCCGATGTGCTCGAATATCCTCGGTGCAATGCACGCACGTAACGTGAAACTTCAGTCGCTACATTGTTCCCGCAGCAAAACTGGGCATCGTATGTGGTTTACGAGAACACGGTTGTTTACCAGAAAAATGCAACTGTGCCATAAACACACGACCGAGAGTGCTCCCCTACTGCATCGCTGTTCACTGTGCATTCATAATGCAGCCCTATGAATTCTGAGTGCTTCCCTAGTAATAAAAAAAATCCGAGTGAACGATTGCGTACGGCTCACCGTGTTTTAATAGGCTCAGCTTCAAGTAAACTGATATCCGGTATTCCTTATGCTCCCGTTATTACTCGACTCCTGCAAAGCGTCTTACGTCGATGAAATTGCCTTCAGCATCTCGATGGCTTTGAACCGTTCACATGATGCACATACGCTGCGGTCACAGCGCCTTAAATGTGTTCTCATGTGTCTACAACTTCACCGCATCCCATTAACGCGAAACCTTGCCCGCTCTCCTTCCAGTTATCGGCCCCGTATATTTTAATCCAACGCCGCGCTGTCTTCTGGGCGTCTTTTATTTTCATCAGACTGCGTTGAGTGATAAGCGTACGTGCAGTTATGCTGGACACGCAAGTTCAGAATTAAAGACCCCCGTGGCAAGGTTTTTCTGTAACGACCTTTCCGATTGGTTGGTGGTACTAACGCGCTAATTCTTCAACCAATCGTGAACCCGTTGACCTCCTGTTTGGCTCGCTATTTTGAGAGACAACACTGTCACATGGAAAACCTGCTTTTAACAACAGACGTGGATTGCCAGTGAAGATGATTAAACTTCAACTGCTCTACCAGCAATTAAATTGTGCTTTATTGATTGGCGATTTTCAGGCGAAATATGGAACTAGACGCCCGTAAAAAAATCATATTTCACTCTGGTGGAAATGCAAAGTTCTGAAAAGTTTGCCCGAAATAGGGTAAGGTATAATAAATGATTCAACATTAAGCGCAAACAACATACATAATATTATATATTTGTTTAATTGTTCGCAGGTGGTAGTAGCGTTACACTGGGGAGCGCCTCCATTAAAAATCTTGCATTGAACAAAAAAATGTACATCACTTACCTTCAGTGCCCCCCCCCCCCCCACCCTTGAATAATCTGTGCACCCCAGGTGCCCCCTCAGAAGTTTAACCCTAATACGTCCCTGGATTCAAGTATCGTAGGCAGTTATCGTAATTGATATTTATGAAACTCCGGTGACTCCGGTGCCCAATCACTTATATATTTTTTGTTTATTATTTAATATAAAGAGGGAAAAATCTTTTTTTATTTACGTCCTTTTTATATGCCTGATCATAGTTACTCCCGACTTTTTAAAGTAAAAATTTACATGGAAATGTCAAAAGGTTTGAAACGAACTAAGAGAATAATTGTGAAATTATATTCAAAAATTGTTCGGAATGTCAAGTACATGTAATTACTTTTTGCGGTGATAAAAATTGAAATTCTTCCAACGGTTCAGGCTAGGATGGACTGGGATAAACCTCACAGGAAAAAATGGACACGGAATTGAATACGTAGGCTGCACTTTACGAGTTTGAGTATTACAACAAAATGGCACCCTGATGAGACAATTTATTTTAGTAAATTATTCCATGGAGACATTTAAATGTATTCCTATTATGTTTGAACTACCATTTCTAGAACGAATGTTACTGTCGCAAGTTGCTTGAATTGATCCCTTGAGGTTGAATTTAAAAAGTTTGGGGAGGGAAAAGTATTTTCAAATGGGGTTATGGGAAGATTCTAATTGTTTTTTATTTGGGCATCAGTCTACAGGAATGTCTCCTTACGGTAGCATTTTGGTCATTATTATAACTAGACAAATGCACAATGCTCTGTCACATTGAATTACTCATAGCTTGATTTAATCAGTTCAACATATAAACCTCCAACGTAAGCTACAATATACAAAAGGAAATAGGCCTAGTCGCAAAGGACTCTGGTAATGCCATTTAATACAATCTAAATCAAACTTTTGTCGGGGACACATATAATTTACCGACTAATCGTTTTTGAGCAGACACCTTCCGAGATCATGGATCGAACAGAAAACAAGACGCTAAATGACATTCTCCCCTGTTCCCAACACAATTAAGCAACACCGATCGGTGCTGAGGAAATGCACGCTCTTGACAGACCGGGGTTTATTTAAATTATCGGGGCTTAACACATTGTCACCTCGAAACAAAATAATTTCCGTTGCTAGTAATTCATACTGTGGAGGGGGAGGAACACACACTTAATTTACATTGTGGATTTTTTTGAAACCACGTCTTTTGTCCACAGCTTCGGTTGCATCTATCGCTTCAGAACTATGTCATTTTCAAATCAAAGGAAATGCATTATTAAAATCGTGCTTCATATTAAAATATAGGATTTAGTGTTACGGAACAGGACATCATTGGACCCGTATTTAACATGAGTCTCCTACATCAGTGTTCTAAGATCTCTAGAAGCCGAAGCCACAGACGAAGCCTAAATTTTAAAAATGTGCAAATTCAAGACCCCGACGCGCACTTACTTCTTATAGTCTTTGTCTCAAGGCGCCAACAAGCGCGATGAGAAAGGAGACTAGTCCAGACGTACACAAATTATGCACGGCCTCCTGCAGGGGTGAAATGGAACATTCCATCTCAGCGAGCCGTGATTCGATTAAGTACGACTGATTGGATTACAGTCCGGTAATACCGGGATGTTTTGTTCGTAAATGCTCGGGGTCGAGTACTTGGGTGAATTATAATTAGTGGCTTCACTCAATGTGCTCCCACTTTGTAATGAGATATTTCAGATTTTGTTTTCACCGACGAAGTAAGTTGTGTCAATGTACAGACGACCGATAATTTTATTTCAGATGATCTTAACGTTGCTTCTCTTTCCTTCATAGTGCCTGCTTCCTTTTTGTTTTCAGTTTTAAAAAAGGAACGACTGAGGAAAAAATGAGGAAATCGACTTTTGCAAACAAAATCTGACTTCATTCAGTGAACACTAATGTGTTGGTAATACACAACCAAAAACGAAAGTCCCCCGAGTAATACTTTTTTGTCTAACTCAACAACTACTCGGCATATTTTACTCAAATAACGACTAATCAGTAGAGAAACTCCTTAGCAAGCCAGCCATATTCTTAATTTGGCCCAAAATAGCAATAATGTGTACAAAATTATGCAATGACAAATGATACCGAAAAAGTTGCACTTTTGTGTATAACATACGTGCAAGTTGAGTGTGAACATTTGGTCTCTAACGCAATCTTCCAACAAAAATGTCTTCAAATAATTTTCAAATTGTGTTGGTTATCTTTTCACCCTTTCCTTTGCAGCATACTTTTCAGGTTCTTTGAGGTTTAGTATAAGGGAAAGGGTAAAAAGATAACCAAATCAAAATTTGAAATTATTTTTAAGGAATTTTTTTTGTTGGAAGATTGCGTTTGAGACGAAATTTTCACATTCAACTTGCACGTACACAAAAGTGCAACTTTTTGGGGGTATATATCATTTGTCATAAATTGCATAATTTCGTACACATTATCACTGTTTTGGACCAAATAAAGAGTATGGCTGGATTACTAAGGAATTTCTGTACTGATTAGTCGTTATTTGAGTGAGAGTTGCCCAGTAGTTTTTGAGTTAGACAAAAAAGTATTAGGGGGCTTTCTTTTTTGGTTGAGTGTATATCTTGACGTCAATTTAGCCCCTACTATAGTGAAAGAGCATTTTCTGTGAGTCATCCAAGTCTAAGTCAACATCACTCAAATCATGCCGACGTCAAACCTCACCGTCCCCCTCTTTCTCTCTCTCCCTCTCTTCCATAATATCGATGATTACATCCTTCAAATTTACCCTAACCTCTTCACAAATGCAGACCACCCAGCCTTTATTCTCAACCTCAACCGTATCCGTATTTAGTAAGTCATCAATCCAATACCATCGTCACAATTTCCATGGCAACTATATCGAAAGCATTATTCGTAGTTGTGTTTTTTTTTCATTCTGTGTCGTTATTATCGTCTTTTTGACCTTCGTCGAAAGTATACCCTTGCATCCACTGGAAGTTCACGATGCATAACCATGGCAACAGTGTAATGATCTCTTATTATACCACTGCAACCGCCACAGTCAGAGCACTGTCCCTACCATCACCCCTCTCACCACTACAAACCCTTTCACTGTTACTATAACTTCTCGCTAGACAAACAAACCACTCACCACAGTTGGACTAGAGAAGGAAAATTCACCGATTTCACTTGACTTCTAAGTAACTCGTAGCTTCAATGAAAGCAACTTATCATTTTCGGTATGGTGAATTAGTATTTTGAAATACAACGTAACATTTCAATCGTCACGAGCCTCCATGATATCACACAAGCCTCTGTACGGTTAATACACTAACAAGAAACATTGTGTAAAGAATGTTATGCAGAGGCACACGGCAGTATCAGATAACTAGGACTTGTTTTCGATGTTTTCGAGAAAAACAAATGTCTCTGTTACATTACACAAACTCTCACCCTCATACGTATAGCCCTGCATGCTCCCGTTTTTAACTGTAATATGAGAAGGAACGCGTTGGTTTTCGCATGAGCGTTTCTCCTCCAAATATTATACGAGGTATTTTCTATCCTCGGTTTAATACCATAAATTATGTAAATCTCAAGTGCTTTTCATTGACACCATTAGCATAGCTTTTTTTTTTTATATAAAAACAAATTATTCTGCTAATTGCTACAATAATTTTGTTGGAATATCACGATAACATTACAAACAACGTGACATGTTTAAATTCTATATACACAATAAATATATTCTATACCTACTTGGTAAAGTTGTTTACCAGTGAAGTACCATTAATTGGACACAATGAACACCAGTTTTGGTCCTTGTAAATGCATCGAAATAAAATATAAAATCACATGCACACAGCTGTAGATACCTGAAACTGAAATACACCAAATTAAGATCATAAGGACACATCCTTGATGCACAGTGAAAAGAATGGAAACAATTCAGACAATTATTTCAACAACAAAAATCTTAGGTTCCTTGCATTTTATCTTTCATTGGAAAAACGGAGGAATTGATTAGTATGACTTTTTTTTCCGAGACACGTGCGTGATGGAGGATTTTCTTTGACTATAAGGCACATGCAGCAAATATACATGTAGGTGTGTAGGTGGTTCTTTTCTGCAGTCCCTAAAACTGCCAGATAGCCCATTATTTTCAAGGCGGCATGACTTCAAGCACGGCAACGCAAGGCCAGACTATAAAAGCTCACCCTCAGTTACTTCGAAATCACCCTTTGCATTTGACATTACCCTTTTCCGATGAATATTAAGAACAATATTTCAAACCCGTTTTCTATATGTGGCAATACTCTTATACTTTCAAGTTAATTGTCGATTGCAAGTCAAGGTATCCGAGAGCACGCCCTCATGCGCCTGAATTTTATAGATATCGCTTCGCTCGCAACCCCCAAACCCCACCCATCCCACCCCACCCTGCAAACAGGGCGCTGGGAAGGGCTGATGAGCTTCACGGAATGCTGTGAAGGAAGTCGCCTGTCAATATGGGTAACTTATCATGACCTTCGCATGCATCGCAAGGGCGGATCCGGGGGGCCAACGGGGGCCATGGCCCCAAAAACGAACCCACTTTTTGTTTTTAAGTGACGTCGCAATAAAGGTTGGCACTGCGTACACCACCATGGCTCCCAAAAAAATCGTTAAAGTGGACAGAAATTGCCTCAGATCGCACCACAGAGCACCTTGAATCCCAAAAATAATCGGGGCCCTTGAGTGGGCCCCGAACCCCACGCCGTATTTTTTGGGACCCACTTTTAGGGGGACCAAAAATTTGTTGGGCCCTCCAAAAAAAGATTGTGTTCTGGATTCTGGATCCACCCTTGAATACAGCTAGCGCGCTACGTGGTTTGTGTGCTGCGTGGTACGTCCTAGGTCAAGCAAAATCTATCCAATGAGAGCTCAAAGAGATCAGCTTTTCCTAGCGTCCTGTTTGCAGGGCGGGGGGCGGGGGGCGGGACGAGCGAATAGATGTGTAGGGGCGGATCCAGGTTTTGATTGAGAGAGGGGGTGGTTGCCAAGAGAGGGTTGAGACCCTCTAACACCCCCCCCCCAGATCCGCCACATGAAAACCAAATACAGTACACGCGCAATGAAAGTCTAAATTCCCCAAAGTACCGAGCAGATACCAGAACCCGCGAAAACTACATTTTCAATTAGTAGGGCCTAGTTTTCAACAACCCAATAAGCATCCATCGTTTCAAATTTATACGGTCCGCTGACTTTTCATCAAGAAGTAGACGTTAAGACCTTTCGTTTTAATATAATGTTCTTGTAGTCCGATTGAAATGACCAGCAAGTAATTTAACCCCCCCCCAAAAAAAAAATACAATGTATTACGCCAATCAATTATGAAATGAGGAGGTGCAAAGTTTTGTGCGTAGGATATCTATGGATATACATAGAAAGATGAGAAAATTCCTCTATCCAATTAAGGCTTAAGGCTGCTACAAAGTTTGCCGTAGAAAAAGACAAGATACCAAGCAGAGGACGAGATAGGCAAAGGTAGGCCTACTCCTTGACGATGGTGAACCTGCAAATAACAAACGGAGAAACCAAAAAAAAACAATATTACGGATAATTAAACTTTAGATTGAACATAAATTCCACAAAGAGACTTGCTCATAGGATTTCACGTAGCAGGACGATATTAATGTAAAGGGCACATCGATAATTAATGTATAATTTCATTAAAAATCGCTGTGAAACAAGCTCGATCGGATCTCGGAAGCTGCGGGCCAACGGATTCGCGTTCATCTTATTTTGACCTTTGACCCCATAGCTGTAGGTCAGACGAAGAGGTCGCCATGGACATGTTTTAATGTTTGACCAAGGCCAACATGGCGCTACTTTTGTCATTTGAGCTTGTTTGAAATGGTGTTATTTTGACCTTGACCCCATGATGACCGTTGACCCCAGTTTGGTCACGTGACATATTAGAGCTGGGCTACTGGTACTTTTGACGAAGTATGGTTGAAATCGGTCAAAATATGTAGGAGCAATAAACAATGTCAACGTTTGTTACTAACTAACTAACGAACGAACTAAATAACTACTACGGACTAACGGAGAGACATGATGATTTATTGAGCTGCTGCTACCCGCAGCTAGCAAGAAAATGAAACAAGCCGACTTACCATTGCCAGCTGTTGGGCTTGGTGTTATGACTACGGAGGGCGCTGTTTGATAAAAAAAAAAGAACATGTTAATCTTTGACACTGATTTCCACAAGTGAAAATCAATATGATGAAAATCACAAAACGCTATGTGGTGCAGAGTGTCAGAGTTGTGCTTCAAAATTTCCAAAAATGCATAATCCTGCCTAGCGACTAACTCAATTTATTGTCATATTTTATTTATTTTATTTGTTTGCGTCAACGCACTATCTCTATTAAGTATCTATTGACTTTCATTCGATTTGTAGGGCCTATGTCCGAAATCCACACTGTGAAAAAAGTTGGGCAAATGGACGGTGCACGTATTCCGCAAAACCGTCAACGTTCCAACTTCCGACACTAATAGGCAAACTTTTCCCAACAGTTGGTCATTTTTTACCCGAATAAACCAACAATGAAGTAACTCCACATCAATTCTGGGCAAATAACATAATTTTCCGAAGTTTTGTTCACAGTGCAACAATGGGTGCCATTTACCTGCGGTAGCAGGGTCCTCGTTGGGCGTGATTAAAGGGGGAAGTTGCTCGCCCGGTGGGGGTAGACCATCGCTCAGGGGAAAGCCAGCTCCGGCCGGCTGGCCCGTATCAGTAGTGTCTCTTCTCACGACGACATGCAAGTCATTGTGTGCGTGTGCTGCCACCTCGCGGCGAGAAATAGCCAGGCTCCACAGATCTTCATGACGCGCTTGATTCGGATAATCTAAAGAACGTACAAAAAGGCATTAGATTTCAGGGGGGGAAAGTACAACTTCTTTGTATATAAAATACTGTAAGTTTGCTCCTTGAAAGGGGTCGCAAAAGATATCATAACATCAACTTGGATTTTACGGCAACTGTACGGCTTCCATCATTCTTTTTCACAAACCTTCAAGTTCAAGGCCCACAAAATGTTTTAACACTGAAGAATTTGAGGGCATGCAAATCGTGATTTGGCCGGCCTAGGCCATTTTTGGTCCTATGTACTGGTCTGGACCCCTCAACGGGAAATGAGCAGCGCCACCAAGTGTCGATTGCCACGTAACGCAATTAGCACAAAAAAAAGTCCATCCGCATCGACAGTTCACAGACGAAAACCGTGTCTCCTATTATAGGCTCCAGTCAAATTAGGTTCCCGTTTCGTAATCTTTAATAACCTTCAAGTAGTTCTGACGATATTATAACCGCTAATACCCAATGGTAACCAACTTTATCCCTCATGTTCCCCCGCGTTTCGGCAAGCTGTCCAAGCTTCAGCTATACTCATCAGTATGCGATCGATAAACTTTCCAAGGTGTTGCTCTTGCTCTGAATTTTACGCCCGGAGTCGATCATTCATGAAAGCGTGCTTGCCATTACCTGCATATCATATTCTGATTGCATGATTCGTGTGTTATGCTGCGGAGACTGTTCATTATACGCATGCATCTCATAATTGTTTGGCGACTTCATGTAAAGTTTAGGAGTGTGTTGTTTTCAAGGACAAATTATTAAATAGGATACGAGTGGAAATACTTGAATTCAGGCGAGGTCAATGTCATCTCTGGTTATGTATAACTCATCATCAGTTGTGTTGTAGCGCCCTCTTGTGAAATATGTAAACAAAGCCCATGGGCGCCGCCATCTTGTTTCACTTCGTTCGTTTCAACCGCATGAATTTTGTTCCACTCGTTCAATACCGTATATGTCGTCGTTAGAAGTTCCCTATCTACATAATAGGTCATGTTGATGACCTAAGTCACAGTAAGAAAATGGGTCTCCTGGTGATATAAATCCTTCACAGCAATGAAGTCCTAAGAGTAAGTGGCATTTATTCGTCGAAAAGTTAAACATGTTATTCATAGAAAAGAAGAAAAGAGGATGTCAGTCCAATCATGCTTGCGCCCACATGAGACAATAGTCGCTGACGTCAAACTTGTTGCTTGCGTTGGTTTGCCTACAAGTCTATGGGAATGTCTCCTAAATGACCCATTTCCCATAATTTTAATGGTTATTGTGATCATTATTTTTTATCTATTTATTTTTATTTTACTATGGCACGTCACTCTTAAAAGTCCGGGGTCAGATTTGACCCCAATCCGGATCAGATTGACCGCTTTTCCGGGCGAAAATTTCTTTTCCGGAAGGTCGATATAGGCCTATTATGACAAACACACAATTGTCATTTTGAACAAAAAAACTGTCGTTTTTTTACATGAAAAAAAATGTCCTTTTGACCCTGAAGATTGTCAGGTCAAATCTGATCCGGATGACGGGTCGAATTTGATCCGAGATTTTTAAGAGCTTGTCTACGGTCTACATTACAGCACTACTGAGTGCAATATACACCTCAGGGTTACACTGTACATCACATTGCTAAAGCCAGGGCAGTAAACATGACACCAAGCGGATAACTGCATGCAGATTACGCGATCTGTAAGCACTCTCCGAACGATCTGCCTTTCCTCCGGTAATGCTGTCGATAATTCATGACCAAAAAAAACGCGCCTTAAAAGTGGTACGGTCGTTACAAACACCCGAGTGTATTGGCGATTATTATGCACTACCAAAAGAATTCTACATCCGATAGGTCGACTGGTGCATATTAACTACCCCCAAATCAATGTCTGGATTCTGGACGGTATACAACCAGCACTATACTTTACATAGGAGTTGGTGTCCCAATTAGATTGGGCTATAATTAGTGCTAGATATTGGCTGGTTTGTGAAAGGTTTCCGCACAAATGCTTTCGTAATATGCTGTGGCGTATCCAGGTTGCGGGTCCAGGGGGCAAGTGGCCCAATTTGTTTCGTTCGTAAAAATGGCTACTAGCGGGACACTGGTACTTTTAACTGTACAGGATGTGAGGTGCCAGCGCTATCCTTGAAAAAAGACAAAATATCGCTGGGTTTGAGGACCCTCCCCCCCCCCCGGCATCACCCGCCGTTGGAAATAGTAATACCCTACTACGGGAAAGATAACAGCTGTCAGCAAACGAAATATGACGAGGAATATTGTGCCCAGTGCAATGTGACAAATTTTACGAATACTTAACTTCATGCATTTCGTTCGCCAATTCACCAGACCCTTCGATCGTATTATCAGCAGGGGAATGGGGAGAGTGATTGTCAGTAGTTCCCAGGCTAAGTTCAATAACTGTCAAATAAAAACGTCGAGCATGTCAGCCCACTGTGCCATTGTGTACCGCATTGACAGCTTGCAAGGACTCCTGCAGATTTTAACTGAATTACCGTTGTCATAATTGCAAGTTTGACCCGTCATCGTGGGATTCGGAGAACGACTTCGGTGAATAATTGCGCAGTTGCAAGTTCTACACGACAGATTCTGCAAAATTCTGTCTGTACGGGTGATGTTTACAGACAGTGTTGTAGGACTCGGACTCGACTCGATTCACGTTGGAAAATGACTGGGACTCGGACTCGGACTCGGACTCGGACTCGACCATGATGACTCAGACTCGAGCTTGGTGACTCGTTACTCGAGTCACGTATTTTCATCAAAAGAAAAAACATAATGTTACGTATTTGTGCGACGAACGTATAGCATTTTTTTTTTTTTACTCCATAGACAAAACAAGGCGCCGCGGAAAATCGTATCCAGGGGCCGCGCACGCACGCCTAGCGCCTGCACGACGAGCACATGGAGGGAAGGGATGGAGGAGGTTTTTTTAGGGATGGGAATTAAAAGGAAAACACATTTTGGGTCTAAACAACATGTACACACACACACAAAGTAAACTACATACACTGGCCAAACTTAAAAGACAGAATGGAGGATTGAAATGTAATTTTTTTTAAAATGTGATTAGTTTGGTGAACAACTCGGACTCGGACTCGAGGCTTGTCACTCGGGACTCGGACTCGGCGTTGGTGACTGGACTACAACACTGTTTACAGATGCAGAAATCATGATTGAAGGTTGTTATCACCATGCCCCAAAATTCAAAAGGTTATCACAGACGGCATCATAAAAAAAATTCTCCTTTGGTCCAAAGATCCATCTTCACTCTTTATCTTCACTCAATTCCAGAAGATATCTGGCGGCATAAATGTGTTGAGCCTACATTATGCAGCACCAATAGGCGCTTTCAGTACCAAATAATAAGTTCGAACTAGCTTAACAACCGGTGTGTTTTTCTCATAAAAGATTACAAACCAATCGACGTATAACATTTTTAAAGTATTCATACTTCTGGAGCAGAAACCTGGACACTATCAACAAAACTATAAGAAAGTCAATAGATGGCTGCTACACCAGACTGCTTAGGTCAGCACTCAACATCAGCTGGAAGCTAGAGTCACACAACCAATCAGACAAGAGCTCTACAGACAACTACCAAAAGTAACAACTACTATGAAGAAGAGACTCCAGTTTGCAGGGCATTGCAGAAGATCCAGTAACCAACCAGTGGCCAGCTTGATTCTCTGGCAGCCAACCCAAGGGAAGCGAAACGTGGGACGACCAATGACCACTGTGCCTGGACACCCAGCTACAACCAAGGGAAATTCATAGCTGCATGACAGAAAGACGATGTTGGAGAGCCATCACTAATGTTCGACAGAAGTCGCAGGAGTAAAATACGGAGTAAAGTCGCCGGAGTAGATACTCCTTCATAAGTATATATAACATAAACGATGGGAGAACCACAACCAAGCAAGTTTGTTTGTCTGCCGGCCTAAAAAGATACCATTTCTGACAGAGACAAAGTTGTCTTTTGATAACACACGTACTTGCACACTCAATTCTCAAAAGGTTAAAGGTTATCATAGAGCAACTACGGTAAAATGAAAACCTCCAAACATTCCAACTGGAACGTAGAAAGACTGAATAACCGACACAAAAATGTCCACAATTACTTGACTCAAGTTGAACTGTGTGCGCATTTTCCTTTCCATTATCACTGTGAATAGAAAAGAAACAAGTGCGAGTGCACAATAAGCTCTGGCCGTGTTGCCAGAAGTCTTGCATGAAAGTCTTGCATGAAATCGATCAAAATGATCCCTACCAAAGCTTAAAAATGCAACGCCAATAAAATGCGACGCCGATGGCACATTATGGAACACCACACTTTTGGTCAATTTGGGGGGACTGACGTCCGCTCCAGCCAGACGGAATTGTGGGGTGATAGCATTGTGTTCCCACTATCCCTTTTCTAAAGATTCTCTTCTGAGTTGATGTTTTTCTATTGTGAAAATAGTGGGGTGATGTGTCCTGAAAGGAACATCACCCCACAAGGGGGGTATGGTCAGAACGGACACCATGACCGACAGACAGACAGACAGACCACCAAGTGACATGTAGAAGCTCCTGCCAGTGCTAAAAATGGGTGGAACCTCTATTTGGGAACGAATCGTCTTATACTGCACATTAGCCTACACTGGTTTGAAATTATTTATAGATTATGTGAACACCAAATTTTCTCCCCCCCCCCAAAAAAAAAAAGAATTTAAGATACTTTTAATTCAAAACATATCCTTTTAATTTTTGAATATGAATTAAACTGCTGCAAACTGCTCACTGACTTGGATTGACCTGAAATCTACAAATCAAAAAATTAGAGTGGCCTGATATTTCATCCTTCGCAAGGACTTCTTCAGAGGCAAATGACTTTAATTTTTAATAAACGTCGGTTTTAATTAAACGGTGTTTATACTACAGCGCAACAATTAACTTTTCTTATCTCTTTTGCCTGTTGAATTACGTCAATGTGAAGGCAAATTGTTAACTCCCTAGCATGATTTACTGGGAGCCATACCAACCTGGCAAATTCCAACACCATTATGGGAAACTGCACACCAGGGTGACCGTAGGGTTATGGCAAAAGTCTGCTAAATGCACTTCAAAAATCTGTCAGATTTATCAAAAATCTGCCAAATTCACCAGAATTACTCGAAATACACTATAAACACTTAAAATCACATGCAGATGTTGTAGTACTGCCTTAATTTAGGTTCAAATTACATTATAAGCAATCTGTAGTCGCATAAAGATGTTATGCAATTGCGTAAATTTGAGGCAAAACGCGGTTGCGTCACGACGAAAATCCGTTCCCATCAGTGAACCTCAGCACCTAGACTAGCCAAGCTGTCCAATTATGCTAGGGTTTGTTTGAAAAGATTGAAGCTTTTTTTTTTAAATGTACAATTTTTTTGAAATTTGCTATGTTTTTGCGTCAAATAACCATTTTTGCAGAATTCTGCCAGAAATCTGCCAAAAAATTCCATTCTGTTAAATTTTCTGTCAAACTCGTTTTTTAACAAAAAAATCTGTCAAAGTTCACCATGCTGCCCACACGTATTTCCGACTTTGCTGTCAGTTTAGGGGTACCCAATCCATCCTGGCATATTCCAACAAAACATGCCGTCGGGGTTTGCTGGGTTGAGTTCTGTTATGAGATCATTGTTGTACGTATTTTGGAAGTACTATTTACCTTTTGTTCCGCAGCACATGTGAAGTAACGTGAGTAGTAAGACAGCACTTAAGATGAGACGGAGACCCATACTTCTGCAGGGCGTTGAGGAAATCAGCCAGTGTTTGGGTTCGACCTGGACAAAAATGATGAAGAGTCGAGTTCAAATAATCTTTTTATAACATTTTGTCAGCATGACGTCAATATGATAATTATTCAGTTGTATAACGACACCACCCATTGGTCAGTTTGATGTCACGTGGTGAGATTGTATAACAGTTGCTGTTTTGGCCATTCAAATACGGTCAAGCGACAACATAATCATTAGTTACGTAAAGTTGGACTTAATAATGTTCCGCCACATAAATGAACGCCAAGCACAGAGTACAAAATTAGGGGAGGGGGTATAAAATCGCTCGTTATGCAATTAACTAAAATCACAGAAAATCAAAATATTAATTGCGTTTAATTGCATTTATGGCAAACATATTCAAATCATTCGTCTTCCCCTTTCAGATTTAATGACTGGTCCAGAAGCTTTTGTTTTCGAAAAAAAAAAATTCGAAATAATTGGGAAACAATATTCCCACTTTTACGAATAGCTCAAAAATAAAACCTTTGAATAATCTTTGCAACCAGGAACAGCCAGCGAGCAGGCTATCGATCAAGCCAACGAATTGGTCAGTCAGGCCGGCAGGCCAGCCAGCCGGCAGCCATCAGCCATCATTGAAGCAAACAAGCAAGCAGCACATTGTAACAGAGGCCCTTCTGCCCATCTGCGAAGCCCCATCAAAGAGGAATTCCTCCATGACCCTATCATTAAAGTATCTGGCTCGGTGTTTCTCCAGTCTCCCTCCAATCAGGGGATATATTCTGCAACGTACGCTTACTTCGCATGAACCAACGTCATTTTGCAGCTGAGATTCATTACTTAGTGTTCATATTAATGTAATGACTGAAACACTGGAGGTCTGAGGTCAACATATTCAGATATTTCGCTTCTAGCCTTCTCAAACTTCGTGTAACCCTTTTTGCCTCTGAGTTAAAAAGGCCAGCTTTGTTTTAAAGGTAACCGCAAGCGTTTTTTGCTCTTGATCGCGAACATCCCAACAAAATGGGCAAAGATCGAATGGCCTGGCTTGAAAATACTTTCCGAATCTGTCACACACCCCAAGTCCATACTGTAAACTAGTAGGAAGATCTTAGATCTCTCCAGGAAAATGTGCTGTGTGCAGTGTTGACGTTTATACAAGGTAACCGCGAGCGTTCTTTGCTCTCAATCGCGATCGTCTTAACCAAAATGGGCAAAGATCGAATGCCCTGCCTTGAAAATATTTCTAAATCTGTCACGAGGCCAAAACCTTCTGTAAACCAAATAAGAAGGCCCTAGATCTCTCCAAGAATACTTGAAGAGCTGTGTGCAGTGTTGACGTTTATATAAAGGCCCTGCGCCTGGCCTGGGAGCCCAGCTCGGAGGCTCGATACGGCAGCTGATATAGCTAGGCTCGATTCGAGTCTCGTCTCGGTCAGGCAATTAGCAAAGCACCTGCTTCGTTGCTTTTCTTAGCCCGAATGCAGGGGTTCAGTATTTAAAATGGCCTGGATTTCTAGCCGGGATCATATCTTCATAATTGCAATCAGCAGCAGCATCGTCAGAACGCCTACACGCTCGATCCACGTCCGTATTTTTTTTTTTCTGCACATGCAGTTGTTTAGTCCCTGCCCACTGACCATAATATGCGTTCGTAGCTGTTGTCACGTCAGGAGACATTCAACGCTCAGTGAACGGTTATCAGTTTGCAGTATCTTGAGTTCGAAAAATATTGACATTTTGCAAAAACTCATTCAGGCTGAAAATGAGTGCCAGTGTGATCGAAAACTGAATGCATGGGACGGATTTTTAAAGGGTAACGCATAAATAAAGCTCAGGTTCGAGTCGTTTCATTTGTTGTAGAACCATTTATTTAGCCTTCTCGCCCATTTTACCAATGACTTGTTTTTTTTCCGTTGACTTTCTTTTTAAATTGTGGTGTTTTTAAGTCCAAGAAAAAATGTTGATTTACAGTAATGCCCTAATTATTCAGGCAGGTAGGTAGGTAGGAAAATAAATTTATTTTGTAACATTTCTGTGTTTCTCCGTCGGTGTGTTATACTTGTACTTTGTTTAATTTAGGGGTTCCTTTGACATTATTATGTTTAATTAACATCTTTTATTGTTTAATTAACCAATCATACGCAAAAAAAATTGCATAAGAAAGACTTTTCTTTTTTTCAAAATGTACGTTATTTAAATCTATGGCCGAGTGTGGCAATAAAGCATGTGGGGTCGGCAATTTGGCCTAACCGTAAACACATTTTTGTCAGGCCTAAGCTCTTCTGAAGCTGCGCCTCTCGTTTGTTTTCACTAATTGACATAAGGCTCTTATCTAACAAGAGCCCTCTCAGGTTCCAAGGTATAAGGTTTACTTGTCTCGTGTCCCATTTAAACTGATGACTTCATTTGAAACAAAAAACAATGGAAGTTTCAGACTGCCTGAGTTGTTCCCCATTTTGGTTTCATGACGTAAGTATGACGTGTTCTGACGCATTCCCCGACGGATAGTCAAACAGTCTAATGTGTGACACGAGCCCAGTTCTTTTCGAGAGTCTTCTGTTCAGGGCCACTAGCAATCGATACAAAAAAAAGATCTTGATCCGTGGAAGAATGCCTCAAACAAACATCCCACTTCAACCTTTCCAAAATGATTGTGTGTGGGAGGAGACGCATAATCCGGCAGGAGGGGATAAGTAAATTATGATGGTGGACACAACACACTGTGGATTTCTCATGGATTTTTCTTGCGTAAACTCAAAGTGCACTGTAAAGTGTTTTGTCAAAAAAACAGACTGTTGTGGGCAACTGTATGGTCGAAAATAGGCTTAAGATGTTGTTAACACATCGGTCATTTTATAAATTTAGGGTCCAGAGTGACATTTTTCCTGTCCCTGTTACCTCGGTAACTTGTAATTTGTTATTCAAGTATAATGACTTCAAACGGTATTTTAGTTGTTTGGTATTCATTATCACTTTTGCTGGAAGATGACTACATTTAGGAGTGCATCGGAATTATAAAATCATAGATGTCAGATGTATTAGGGACGGGGGAAAAAAGTGGACCCCAAATTTATAGATTGACCATTATACATGTGTATCTATAGATCTCCCCTGCACAATGAAGGTTGGTTTTGCGGGGTTTTTTTCGAAAACGAACTTTCCTGAGAAGAGTTATGCTTATTTGAAGTTTGTGATATCATGGAGGTAAAAACAGACAATTACCTGTGAAAGTTTGGGGGATATGTATTTTTTTAACTTATACAACTCTACAAATGATCCCCCCAAAAAATTTACATCCCGAAACTTGTATAATATATATATATATTTCAAACAGTTTTAGGATCTCAAAAATGCCCCCAAAACAACTGTTAATCAAAAAAGGGCCCTCACGTGTGTCTCCATTTCAACTTTACCCAGAAACATCTGGCCTAGCCAGAGCACGTCTTAATGACCGTGCTTACTCGCCGCCGGGATAGCACCGGGTTTCCCGGGGGCCTAGAAATGACGGTATTCGGTCCCCGGGAGAGATTTGCCTGACGCAAGTTGTGTTTTTGCGAGGCTTCGATGCCACTGAGTGTTCTCTTTCGTTAAAAAAAAACTCTCTCGTTAAAAACCAATGCCCAGGGTAACATATAAATATATATATTTGTTAAAATCTCTCATTAGTCTTACTTGAGATCTTTTACTGATGTTTACGTATAGGAATTCGGGATTCAAAAAAAAAATCCGTTTCCATATATTATTATTATGTTTTAATGTTCGCGCATTTTTATTCCAGCTTTTAAAAGATTATATCGCAAATATTTATACATATTTAGAGAGTACAGTCCATTTTCTTTTCAACAACTAAGGAATCTTTCCAATCGGGTAAATATTTATTGAGTTATGGCCAATTCAAAATAAAAGTGCCGATTTCTCCATCTGTCTGTGGTATCAATAAATGTCATTTTGTTACGAAAGTAATGGATTTGGGGTGAGGGTAGTTTTGCTTTCTTTAATGGTTTAATGTTTTCTTCTTTATTTGGTTCAGTTTATTTGTTACTTTTTGCAACAATGGTCATTTATCCTTCTGGAAGTAATGGTAGTCCCGAAAAGGACTGTTTGGTTAACTTCTTAGATGTTTACTTTGCTGCTCTGTCTCTGCTTTCTATAGCCTTTTTCACAAATGCAAGTTTCGGCCCGCACTCTGAATACGGCAGTCAAAATATCAGTGGCCGTGGACAAAATGAAAAAGCGGTACATGTTTTCAATTGGCCATAACTCAATAAATATTTACCATATTGGAAAAATGTTTTCGCTGCTGAAAAGCTAATGGAGTATAATCTCTAAATATGTAAAGATATTTGCGATGTAATTTTTAGACACTGTGAAAAGAGGGCGCTTAATTGAGGGTTAGGGTTCGGGGTTTCGGGTTTTTAGACACCCTGTAGGTTGTATCGTCTAGGGGACTTCCTCAACGACATTGTCAACAATGAACTATGATAACAAAAGGCAAGTGGCAACAGCTTTAGAGGGACTGAACTTTCGATCCTAAAAGGATCTTTCTCAAATAAATAAACAAAGTGGTTCATATCATGGAGTGGCCAACAATAATTAATATGTTAAACAAGCCGAGTTTACATCCAAACTTAACTGTTGGTCGTGTTCGGCACGACCTTCATTTACGTCATCTCATCGAAAGTTTTCCTGCCATCACGTATATCGCAATTCACCAATAACAGCTACCTAAACCTTGCTAATATAGGCTATGTGATATGAAAAACAAATTATCCACCATTAATTTGTTCATTTAAATATTCCTATTGATATAAACACATAGTTTATCTCAGTTGGGCGTTAATCCCCGGGGGTGGGGAGGATATATGCCCCCCATCTACTCATTGAGCGGGGGATGGGTCATTGGATCATCCCCCCCCCCCCCCCCCCCGTTTGTGATGAGAAACCAAAAAAAAATCCGATTTTGGAGTTAACTCCTAACTTTTCAACAGTCCAGATGTACTCAAATATTCCTTTAAATCGGAGAACAAACGCTACAAAGCTTG